GGAGTCCTAGTGGACAATCACTTAAATATGAGCCAGCAGTGTGCTGCAGCTGCCAAAAAAGCCAACACAGTGCTGGGTTGCATTAAAAGAGGGATAGAATCAACATCACGTGAAGTATTAATACCACTTTACAATGCCTTAGTAAGGCCACACTTGGAATACTGCATCCAGTTTTGGTCACCACGATGTAAAAAAGATGCTGAGACTCTAGAAAGAGTACAGAGAAGAGCAAGAAAGATGATTAGGGGACTGGAGGCTAAAACATATAAGGAACGGTTGCTGGAATTGGGTATGTCTAGTTTAACGAAGAGAAGGACGAGGGGGGACATGATAGCAGTCTTCCAATATCTCAGGGGCTGCCACAAAGAAGAGTGAGTCAAGCTATTCTCCAAAGCGTCTGAGGGCAGGACAAGAAACAACAGGTGGAAACCAACCAAAGAGAGAAGCAACCTAGAATTAAGGAGAAACTTCCTGACAGTTAGAACAATTAACCAGTGGAACAACCTGCCTCCAGAAGCGGTGAACGCGCCAACACTGGAAGTTTTTAAGAAGAAACTGGACAGCCATTTGTCCGAAATGGTATAGAGTTTCCTGCCTGAGCAGGGGGTTGGACTAGATGACCTCCAAGGTCCCTTCCAACTTTATCATTATTATTATAACTAACCTAGCAGCTGTAGCTCAGACACCTATTATGGGGTAGGTTGGCATATGATTAATAGAGATTCATCATTAGTGTTCAGTATAAATTTGACTCAAAGTATCAAAAAAGTATCATACTACACAAAACACATGCAGATGAATAAACTATGCCTTTTTTCACACTTTGGCCTTTTCTTTCTGCCCCGTCTGCACCATTTAGGCTAGAGTTCTGTATGGAAAGTACAGTTGTTCCAAAATTAGTGTTAAATTGTAACTGAAACTGTTAATTAGTCTTATAACTGGTGATTTTCTTCTCTGCAAGGTCTAATTGCAATTATCATCATGGGCGTGAAAATGATCTCATGCATGTGGAGCTTATTGGAATGTCATGGGTTCTTTTGGTCTGCTATTTATAATATCACAACATCAAGAAATATGTTTTCAATATGTTTAGAGACAAAATTCAAAGCAAAATTGGTAACTTAATTCTAACTTAATTGTTCAAAAATGTTTGAACAGAATAAACAAGAGTGAAGAAGTGAAAATGATACAAAGGCAATGTATAACTCTCCAGATGCTGAATTCCAACCTTGTCAGCCTAGCCAAGGAGCCGGAAGCTAAGTGTGACAAATAATACAAGATTTGGGCTTCTGCGCACAGTTTGTAAAGACTTCTTTGCTATAGATAATCAGGATGTTGTCATGGAGCAGGCTTTCCCTTATAGTACAACTAGGAAAAGGAAAGGCTGATCACTAATGCATGGTGGATTCTACACTGGCTTGTATCACTTGAATGGGACTAGAGAAGACAAAGATGAATTGGGAATAGCATCATTCTGAATGACAAGAAATGGCACACTGGCATTATAAAAATTCTGTCAAGTTCATATGAGTAAGTTTGGCACAATAGAAGAAGAGGATCACATCAGTCTTCCAAGCTAAGTAATAAATAGCTAAGTGTGAAGTTTATTCTAGTAATCAAGGTAGAGAGAAAAAAGCTCATGCATGTTTAATGCTATGCCTGTTGCCTTTTTTTTAAATGAGGCTATGAGTCACATTTCTCACGAGTGCTGCACATATATTTTACTGAGCCTCTCCTAATAGTGACAACACCAAGATAATTTAATAGCAAGAGTGTGTATTAGGAAGATCTCAAGAGAATAAAGTTCAGGAAAATTGTCATTTAAAAATGGTAATCTCAATTACCTATGCATCAACTGGATAACTGCGTCACAGTATTTTTTTTTTAATTGTCAATTTTTTAAAAAAACTGTTGATTTTGCGTCATCAAGTTGTTTCCAACTCCTCGCAACCACATAGATTTGATCCATGACAATATATCCCTAACTTGTTATTTCAGGTCTCCCAATAGTGAACTCATTGCCACTGTAACTGTGTCTATCCACCTTTTTAAATTAGACACCCTAAATCAAGAGACAGCAACAATGGATTAAGTTTTAAATCATACCCAGAACTTAGAACAGTATTTCTCAGCTACAGCAACTTTAAAATGTGTGGACTTCAACTCCCAGAATTCCGTATTCCATACATCTTAAGGTTACCAAGGATCAGAAACTTTACCTAGAGTGAGATTACCTACCTTGTGGAAGAAACAATAGAACCCTTGGCTGCTGTTCCAACAATTCAATTATATATTACCATATATAAAAATTGCTAAGGAATTCCATGTAGTCAGAACAATGAGGGGCTTGGCAAAAGGAGAACTAAAAGTCAAGCAGAAAAACTCCAAAATTTGGGAGAGACTACAGGAAGCAAACCATAGTAAGTACCCATAGGAGCACCATTACAATGTATTCTTAGGGTAAGACACCAAGTTCAAAAACTCAGCAGCATGATTAAAAAGTAATGCCAAAGAAACAGTGAAAGAATGTTGGGTGTTAAAAGACAATGAACATCCTGTTCGAGAGAGATATTTCTGAAAAAGAAATATAAGCATACAATACAGGTAGTCCTCGACTTACAACAGTTCATTTAGTGACCGTTCGCAGTAACAGTTTTTCACACTTATGACCATCCCCAGGGTCAAGTGATTTACATTTGGAGGCTTGACAACTGGTTCATATTTATGATGGCTGCAGTGTGCCGGGGCGTGCAACTTTCTGACAAGCAAAGTCAATGGGGAAGCCAGATTCACTTAACATCCGTGTTACTAACTTAACAACTGCAGTGGTTCACTTAACAAATGTGGCAAGAAAAGCCCTAAAATGGGGCAAAACTCACTTACCAAATTTCTCACTTAGCAACATAAATTTTGGGCTCAATTGTGGTCATAAGTCGAGGACTACCTATCTATCTATCTATACTATACCTATTGCATTATTCCCTTTAGGAAAGCAATGTTAGAAGAAAGAAACAGAATAAAAATTAATGTACCAAAGATATTAAGGCATGAGATAAAAAAAAAGAATTCAGTCCAATCTGTTCCCATCACCATTCTTCTCCACTTTTCTAGCTTTACAACCTGTCCTTGTTTCTATTGTGTCCTTACTCTGCCTCATTTTTTTAATCCTGCTTTTATTAAAAAATAATTCAAAGTGACAAACATACTTAATACTCCTTCCTCCTCTCATTTTCCCCATAACTACTCTGAGGTGGGTGGGGCTGGGAGAGAGTGCCTTGGCTCTTTTATGACTCATGGACTTCAACCTCCAGAATTCCTGAGCCAGCCACAAGTCATAAATGAGCCAAGGTTGCCTACCCATGGGCCCCTAGCCCAAGGTTACTCAGCTGGCTTTCATGCATAAGACAGCACTTGAACTCATAGCCTCTGGCTTGGACGTTGCTTTTTCTTCTTTAAGCTTTCATCTCTCTTTGAGGATTTCATCCTCTCCATCAACCACAACTTTCTTTCTTTTTTTCCCTTCCCTTCCATTCATTCTTTATCACATTTGTTTTGTGATTCAATTTATTTTTTTTTACAGGGCACATCACCTTGCCATATATCTTTCACACTAGTCATTACATTTTGTATTCAATGAAGATTTATTGTTGGCCTTTTCTTGTTTTACATATTTCTTAAATAACAAATTCAGCACTCAATCTTTCTTTCTGAACATTCACAAATCACCTAACAGCATTCTATTTAGTTTTATGCTCATATACTGAGCTCTCATTTCCATGTAACAGACCAGATGTATGCTGTTACTCTTAAGTCACTTTGCTCCTTTTATTATTATATTATGTATAAATGTATTACGGACACCCACCCCAGAAGACTCTGGTTTTTGTCAAACATTTATTCCTTGGCGGGTTTTTTTTATCACTTCAGTATACCAAAAGAGATTTTTTTTAAATTACTAAAAAGAAAAATAGGAAATATTAAACCTGACTGCATGGCAAAATATCGATATTTTTCTAATAAAGGTCACAAGCAGCAAAAAACAACAACATTTCATCAGTTCACTATCTGAGGTAGTACTTGTCTATCCAATGAAACTTCTCTGAATTCATTACAAACTCTTCACCAAGAATACCTTTCTTCAATATTCTTCCACATCTTTCCATTTGAAGATTCCCATTTATAAGAGGCGGGTCTGCGCTCAACCAAAAGTACAGCATCATGCTGGCACTAGATGTCGCCCAAGCGATGTAAGACTAAACAAAAAAGTTTCTCCACTAAACTTGGAAACTCCCATGCAAGACGCAATAAATTAGGCACTGAACCTTAGAGCAAAAAAATAAAGAAATAAAAATGAAGAGAATGCACGATGCTTTGCAGAGCTAGTGGAAAAACTGATTAGACGGCTGTTTTATCCATCTACCTCGCTGCCTTTACAATAGATGGGGACGATAATACGGTGGGGTATTTGGAGATTTATTCCATCAGAGTCAGACTGTCCCTACGGAGCAGCGGTTCTAGATCCAGCAAAAAAAAAAAAATGCCGAAGATCTGTCGATGCTTTGCATCGCAGGGCTGGCAAGGATTAAGCGTTAATTTCTTTGATAAATGGGGTGGCCTAATTGGGACAGCCGAGACTTGGCTGGCGAAGGGCGGCGGGGAGTCGGATGCGCGGAGCAGGGGGAGAAAACGAGGGCGGGGCTCACTCAACCGAGAGCTATCGCAGGTGAGACGCGGAAGTCGTCGCGTAGCAACCAGAGTGAAAACTACTCTTCCCGGGCCCTCCCCCCGCTTCGTCGCGTCCCGCCCGGGGAATGCTGGGATACGGTACAGGGGACTGTCGCTTGGCAACGGGAGGACTCTCTGGAGGGCGAAGTTTTACTGTCGCTTCTGGGCGGGAAAGGTAAGTTCCTCCGACAGTTAACCCCGCAGGTGTCCCCCTCTTATTTACTAAAAATGGGAAGAGGAAGGGAATTCTGCTGCTCCGACTATTTTGCGGCCTCGAAAGGATGCTATTCCGGCTTTTTAGCAACATCCCTTTTGGAAAAGGCACTTGGAAACCCAGGTTTCCAAAAACTGCCTCGTCCAGGGGCAATCGAGGGTGCCAACTATTTCCCTTTCCCGTCCCATCATTAAAATGGTATCCTTCTACCCAAAGGTAGCTTCTGCTTTCCTCCTCCCCTCTTCCTCTTCCTCTTCTTCCTCCTCCTCTCCATTTTTTTCTTTCCTTCTCTGAAACAGACACATAGAAGAGCAGGGTCAGTATATTTAAGATAGATGCATAGAGAAAGGGACATGGGCTCAACTTCTCAACAGCATAAATCATACTTAATTATATTATTTGCCTGTGTGCAAATAATAATAATAATAATAATAATAATAATAATAATAATAATAATAATAATAATAGTAAAGTTGGAAGGGACCTTGAAGGTCATCTAGTCCAACCCCCTGCTCAGGCAGGAAACCCTATACCATTTCGGACAAATGGCTGTCCAGTCTTTTGGTATAGCTAATTTTATGCTGCATCTTGATTCCTTCCCAAAATGAGATACTTTAACAGTATGATGTTTCTCAGATCCTAATGTGGTTATAGCAATACGTATTTTCTTTTTATATTCTTATCCATTTGCCTTTTTCTTGGTTACATGTCAATGTTTATAAGTCAGTTTGTTTATATTAAGACTTCAAAACAGGTTGCATATTTTATTTTTCAGGCCACTATGTCAAAAAGAATCTTACTACCTTCTATCCCATCACTGGAATCAACAGCTAGTAGAAGTAATCAGAGTTCAAGTGAAGAATCTTCTAATGGGAAAAATTCTCCTTCAATAAATGAATTAAGAAGCAGACTGACTAGCGTGGCTCCAAAACAGATGGTACCAAATCCGGAAGCTCTGAAGTTTGAACATAATACAAAATCTCAAGAAAGAACTAGAAAGCGGCAGCAGCCTATAAAGCTAGAACCTTTAGTAGGTTGATTTTGATTTTAAGAACTATATTTTTTTTATTTGGAAAAAGTTGGTTTTTTTTCCAGATATGTTGTAGAGAAAATTGAAATTAAAGGCTACAATTTTATGTCATCAATTTTGAAATGTGGATATAAAACAGGTTAACATTAGATTGACAATTGCTTATCAGAAAAAGGTTTGAGGAAATACAGTTCTTCTGTTTGATTAAATGTGATATCAGACATTACAGAGATCAGTCGTGTCAAATGAATCCTAATCAAGTTAATTTCATGATCCTTACAACTAAAATGTCATGGATCTCTTAGCAGAAAAACTAAACTTCCTAAATTTGCAATCTACAATAGTTATCTTAAGAAAGACTAATCAATGCATTCTGTAACTCTGAAATTTTGACCCTTGTAAATAATTGTTACCCAATGAGATAAAACCAGCCTAGTACACAGTACAGGGCAAGCCATAAAGTTCCTAATACATATTAAAATCAGGGAACTAAAGACTTCTCATCACTGTTATTAACACAGGATGGTTGGATGACTTTAGAAAATGCTATAAGTCACTTGTAGTGTGAATCTTTGCTTTAAGAGAATATGCCACCCACGCAAAACAAAAGCATGGTTCTTCAACTTATGAGACTACTGCCTAGTGTTACATGCTGTCTTCCCTATCCACAGTTAAAGAACAATGACTGGGTCTATGCTTATCTAATTTAATTTTACTGTCTATTAACTTGTACAAAACCTTTCTGTGGATGAGTTATTCATTTTTTAAAAATTACTTATTTCCAATTTAGCCTGCCTTAAAAACATATCAGCACCAAAAACAACCTGAATATATATACCAGAAAAACAGGGAAAAATTGTTAGCAGCTGGAGTATTAAAGCCTACAACTTCAGCAGAGAAAAGAAAATGGCCTAGTACGGTGGAGGCAATTTCCTCTGAACTCCATGAAGAACTGAAAGAAAGACAGGTATTGTCTGTCCTTATAAATTATGAATGCATACTTTTATTTAAATATTTTAATCTTCCCTTCAAATCAAATACAGGTGGTCCTCGATTTACGACCACAATTGAGCCCAAAATTTCTGTTGATCAGCAAGACATTTGGTAAGTGAATTTTGCCCCATTTTACGACCTTTTTTACCACAGTTTTAAGTGAATCATTGCAGTTGTTAAGTTAGTAACATGGTTGTTAAGCGAATCTGGCTTCCCCATTGACTTTGCTTGTCAGAAGGTCGCAAAAGGTGATCATGTGACCCCGGACACTGCAATCATCATTAATATGAGTCAGTTGCCAAGTGTCTGAATTTTGATCACAAGACGCTGTTAACAGACATAAGTATGAAAAATGATTGTGTCATTTTTTTCAGTACCATTGTAACTTCAAACCGTCACTAAAAGAACTGTTGTAAGTTAAGGACTACCTGTATGTTCAAGGCACTTACAATTTATGACTCCAAACAAATATAATTTTAAAGGTATCCCTTGCATGTTAGAGTTAATAAAATATCTGTATTGAAACTGCAGTGTTCACTTTTTCAGCATGCTTTAAAAACATCATACTGTATATCCCAAAATCAGGTCACTTTCCACTTATTTAAATTTGAAGCAATACATAAAAGAAGATTTCACTGCCCTATTGATGTAAGAGTTGTTCAAATGTGTGCATGGCCAGTTGTACTTTTCCCTTGTTTGAAGCTGCTTTTAAACTTGCCATAAATAGTTCTCACTTGCTGAAGGAGGTTCGCTTTAAGACCAATGCAGTCCTGTTTTTCTTATTTTTCTCATCTTCGTACCACTGTTGCGTAGTATTAATCTAAAATGGCAGTACAGTTTTTTGTTCTGTTGCTACTTACCTTCTATGTAAACTCATGATTAACATTTTTAAAATAAATGTTGAAAGTTTTTGAAGTTTAAATACAAAAAATAAAAAGGACGATACTGCCACACTGCACTTCTGCTGTGGGAGCTGCACTAACTACTGGTTTGTTTCTGAGGGTAATTCAAGGAACTTGTCACTATCTACAAAACCAGACAGGTTTTATGGCCTAAATATCTTAAGGACCACCTTTCTTCAGTAGTTTCTGCCCATTCTACCCGAAGAACTAAGTAGTATCTGCTAATTGTCCTCATCTATCAGAAAGTATGTCAGGAGTGGGCTCTGCAATAAGCATTCTCTATATCAGTGGTTCTCAACCTTTTTAATGCCGCGACCCCCAACTGGTCGTAAGTCGAGGACTAAACTGGTCGTAAGTCGAGGACTAAACCGGTCATAAGTCGAGGACTACCCAACCGGTCGTAAGTTGACTTTCCTTGCCTGGGAGCGCCGCACATGCGTGGTTCCGCCCCCTGCACCGGCCGAGGCGTAGCTGGCAAGCGGCAGAGACGGAGCAAGGCGACCACCAGCTGGCTCAACTCAAGGGAGGTAAGGCACCCGCCAGAAAAGGGGAAAAAATGGCGGACAGCCTTGCTTGGCGACCCCCGTGAAATGGTCAATCGACCCCAAATGGGGTCGCGACCCATAGGTTGAGAACCGCTGCTCTATATAGTAGCAGTTCTCTTCCCCTGAAATAGCTTGCCTGCTGAGGCAAAGATGCCCCTTCCCCAGCACCTTCTAGAGCCTTCTGGAGCTAGATGAAAACATGGGTTTTCCAGAAGGTTCCAAGTTTTAATTGTACAAGCAGTGCCATATTCAATTAATTCAATGTATTATTTATTATTTAACATGAATTAAACTGTAGCATAATTGGATTACCATTTAATTACTATAGCAACTTGCCTTGCATTTATGTGTAAATTCTGTAAGCAATTTAGAGACTGTCTGGTTTCAGGTGGTAAACAAATGTTATCAGTAAACAGGCATTAAATAAATAAACCCCTGAGAGTACTGGTAGAGTGCTATTCTGTCATACTGTAAGCTAAGGTGACCAACTTTTTTACAATGAGAAGGAGGACACAAACAAATTGAAGAAAAAAATATCGTAAATAAAACATTTTATTCATTGCAACAATACAGAATACACTATAATATGATAAATGCATAATAAAAAACATTTGTAACAATAACATTTTATATTGTAATTATGCTTACATGCCTACTAATTATTATTTAAATGTGTACAAAAGAAGGACTGCCCTCCCTAAAGGAGAACAATTGGTCACCTTTATATAAGCACTAAAGTAATGTGCAGGTATTGGGCCAGTTGAATTGTGAATGTGGAGTGTGGAGGGAGGCTTTGCCTCAGAAATCCAGGTTATCTGGACCTCTTACATGATTGCAACAAAGAGCTCAGAAACACTGCAGCTTTCAGATAATAAAATTTCTCATTAAATCTGAAATGGATACCTGAATATGGTTTCTTCAAAACACTTCCAAGCCATGCTTACCTGAATGAAACATAATTTAGTTTCCACATTACAGAAGAAAGTAGAACTTCTGGTTAACTTAACTTAGGAAGGGAAAGCTTCCATCCTTTTATAAGCCATTCTGAAGGAAGAGTGTTTCTTGCTAGACCAATGCTCATTGCTATGCTAGTATATATAGTGATAAACCATGATATTGTTTTTAAAAAATATCAGGGAAGCAGTTGTAAATCTTATTATTATGCAGTAAATCTGTGACTTTATACTCCTAAGAATCTACAAGATGATGCTGGGTTTTCAAAAAACCCAGGAAAGCAATAGAACCTTTAAAAAAAAAAGTTAAGTTTTATATATAAGTTCCTTTCCTTTATTATTGCAGTTGCTGAGTGCTATGGTACGAATTCCAACTCCTCCTAAACAACCACGTAGTGCATTAAAGACAAGTGCTTGCAAACCCAGTTCGACTCCACCTTTACGTACATTTAGTGATCCAGAAGAAGTAATTAAAGCTAATATTACGGAGCCTCTACAGATTATAAGAATAATATGTGAAAACAAAAACCTAGGATTTCTGTACTTGACTCCCGCAGTGCCTAAATCATCAATTGAGTATGACTCATATAACCTGAAGTGAGTTACCTTTAAATGTTGAAGCAATTATATGTTTAAAAAAATAATTTTATGTTTTACATGAATTCCAGATTTACTACTTATAATACCAATCTCCTGTTCTACTGATGGTTAATATACATACTCACAGAAATAATATAGTTATATCTAATTTCTATATTTTTCTTATATGTATATATATATGGATAGACGTGGTGCTAAAATTTGAAAGCTTATGTCTTTTTCCTTAGAAAGGGGAAAGTTAAATGAAATTATCAATTAAGGAACAATGTTAAATTTTGATTAAAAATGCAGTTATATAATGTACACAACTCAAAAGATATAGGTTATGTACATGAATGTACATGGGATTTTTTCAAACAGTTGTGGCAACATAGAAAGACAGTATGCCAAATGTATGTTTTGTCAGGTAATTTATATACCAAGTACCAGCATAGATTGACAATTATTGTATACCCAGTAATCATGTATTCAGACAACTTAAATACCCTGGTAAATTAGCAGTCTATTACTGTAAGAGATGGGGAGAAAATGTCTGTCATTTCATTAGAACAATGCAGAGTTCATGTAATATGCTTTGTAGGCATGAATTGGAACGTTCACTCACTGCAGAGCATGACCCAATATTCAGATTCAGAACAAGATTTGCTAAGATAAAAATATACTGTTCCCTAATCTAGCAAGGAAAGAACACACATTGCTGTCATATTACTGTTTTTAGTAAAATGGGACAATACTTTGATGCGGGATAGAGCTTTATGCAAATATGAAATTTGCATAAATTGTACAAAAATTGAGCAGGGACATTTGAGTACTAATGCATTTAGAAACCCTGATTTATGCCTTTCATGTGAACAACTAAAGTTTGGGTGGGTGGGAAATACATCTGCTGTAGCTTCATTTGCATCGAAGCTGGAACTGGCGCCATTCTGAATCACTCCACTCCATCCTGGATAAATAAAAATTTGCTTCATGCCATTGTAATTTATCATAGATTTTATCTAAATCTGGTGGGTTAAGGCTGCATCTAATAATTAAAGGAACAATGCAACATGTTCTGTTATCCAGATTGTGTCAGAAAAGGTCCTGCCATGATAAAAAAAAAAGTTATGTTAATTGCCACCATTCCTCCTTGAAAATTAATAAATTGGTAGCAAAACCTGTAATATGGAATGGCAATTTGAATACATAAGAACACTGAAAATAACAGGTATTATTCTATCAGGTTCTATATCCTACAGGTACAGAATAGGCATACATAGATAGTCCATCATTGCTTATTCAGGTCTTGGCAATTAATGTATCCTATTAAGCAATGTGTTTTTATTTATTTTTAGAATTGTAAGCTATGACTGCATTAACAAAAATGACTACTACACTATTAGTCCACAAGCAGTTATTCATACATGTAATGGAGAAGTTGAATACCTGGAACTTGAACGTTGGGAGCAAGAATATGTCTATCATAGGGCACTTGTCAAAATTACTATATTTGCTATATTTCGCAAATGGAAGTCATTTAATGTATGGAGGAAGAACGTCCGCTGCAAAAAGATCAATTCATGTCGCCGAGCTTTACAGAAGAATTTATTTATCGTTAATGCTGTATGTATTGTGTTTTTATTACTGAAATAATACATGTGAAGGACGTTGGATAATCTAAAAGCATTGTATTGTTTTGAAGACGTCACTCTTTAATATAGAAATGATTTACAGTGTATTGTAGTTTCCTAGTGTGAAATATATTGATATTAACATAGCTGTAGTTCCACAGCTCTGAATTAGTGCTGCTAGAGTTTAGTTAGTGTGGAAAGTCAATAAAGCTCATAATCTAAAAAGTTCACAGAGATTTTTATTTCTGGAAGAGAGCCAATTTTTCCCTCTCATCACAGAAAGAAATATTTTACAAACAGAAAAACAGTTGAACTATCAGAAATGCCTGTTCATACAAAGGGGAAGTTTTCCCCCTTATTCTCTTCTCTCCCAATAATTCCTTTGATCTGCTTCTGTGTTCTTCAGAAAGATCCACTTGTGCACACGGAGCAGTTTTTAAGGGAGCTGGGATGCTATGATGAAACACACACAATACTTCCCCCTCCTCCTATTTTTCCCACATCACCCCTGTGAGGTGGGTTGGGCTGAGAGAGAGAGAGACTGACCTAAAGTCACCCAGCCGGCTTTCATGCCCAAGGCAGGAGTAGAACTCACAGTCTCCTGGTCTCTAGCCTGGTGCCTTAACTATTAGACCAAACTGGCTGATGATGATATCTAGTTTTTCTATCTGGAGAATATTTTTAATTATTGGAAAATACAGCCTCTCCTTCCTTTCCTTAGTGAATACAGTACTGGGAGCATCTTTTCCTGGGATGGAATTTGAAAATCTATTATTTTGAAATATTGGAAAGCTGGGTTTTTTTCATTTGCTTTTAAAAAAGTAACAACACAATATGGGTTCTTGCTGACATTATATATTTGATAATGCATGATCACAAAGACTTTGCATAGCTCTGTAGTCAAGACAATGTTTTTAATATATGGGAGCTCAGTGAGAGACACTAATATCCAGGAGCCATCAACTATACACATCTAGAAGTCAATTTGGACAACTTCTCTGTTAATATGCCAAGACCCTTTTAGCCCATCATGATATGGAAAAAATAATGGGAGACACAGAGAAAAATAGAAGGAACAGATGTGACCATGTGATTTACAATTTGTCTCGAGTATTGTGTAAATATGAGAGCCAATCAATTTGCTTTTGTTCTACTATTCAGAAAATGTACACAGCACTTTCTAATAGTTCTTTCTGTCTTATTCATTTGTTCTGTTTTGCAGTGTTTGAGACCAGCAATTCTAAACATCCAAGAAATGTGTTATCGAATTGGTGACATGGTGCTTTGTCAAGTTGAAAAGGGCTATATATATACATTGATAGAGTTTAAAGGTACTCAGTTCAGTCAGCTGAAAGATGTGAGTGTTATGTTTCAGTTGTTCAAGATTCTATATAAATAACATTAGCTGAAATTTAATAATTATTTACATGTAATTGCATTGAAATTTTAGGTGGCATCTCGTTTGTCAGAATTCAGAGAATTAGCCAAAGAAGTGGTTAGAGGTGCATGTCGAACTGCATTGCTTGAAACTGGTTTCACTCCTGATGATTATTTTTACAGTGTTGAGAGTACAGGTACAAAACTGCCATATTAACAATAAATAATAATGCTTATATCTTTATTCTAAATGCTTCATTAGAGTCTGTGTATTTCTTTTATCTCAGATAAGTGGGGTTGGAAAGTTCATTGAATTTTCAAATAATCGTACTTTCCTGCAACATTTGAACTTTGGGAATTTCAGTTTTTAGTGGTTAAGGTATCAGGCTAGAAAACTGGGAGATTGTGAATTCTAGTTCAGCCTTGGGCACAAAACCAGCTGGATGACCTTGGGCTAGACACTTTCGCTCAGCTCTAGGAAGGAGACAATGGCAAACCACTCCTGAAAAACCTTGCCAAAAAAATCTCAGAGAAGTGGATCTAATTGAATAGAAAAAATAAATTAAAAATAAGGCAGGATCAGGATATGAATTTATGTACTATGAGAAGAAAGGATGGGTTACCCAACATTGCAATCTCAATATGCAACAGGGGGAAGATAGTGTGAATTTTTGTGTGTGTGTGGGTCAGGTACAGCCTGACCCAATCCACACTTTGCTTTGTATTAGTCCCAATCATTTGAGTGGCCTCTGCAAAATCTCACAGGGACCAGTATAAGCCTCCCATTCTAAGTCAAACAAATCTTAGAACAGGAAATAGATTTTTTTAAATTGTAGCTTTAACTATTTATGGATAGATTGTTTCTTTAACTGTAAGTGTACCGTTTAGTTTTGTGCCTGGAATAATAACAGCAATTTGCACATATATTTTTCCTCAGAACAGGTAACAATGGCAACAAGAAAAGAAGCTGTGATAGGAACCACTGTTCCTCGTGTTGAGAAAGACTTGTATGTCGAACAACCTGAAAGAATGACATACACAGAACAGGCCAATAAAAGGGCTCAGTGTGGAAGGCTAACATGGTTAGTAATAGCATTTCTGTGGGTGTCTTATCATAATATCTTTCTTACAATTTAGAACAGGTAGATGTAAAATAGCAAAAGTACTTCTTGCAAAAAGTATGCTAATTTAGGTTAGCTTCACTTATCTTGTGAAAACAAAAACAAACATCTGATTGTGGGTTAACATGCTATGTGACCTGAGTCATAGGCATCCAATCAGAGGCCTTAAATCCTATTTTGTAAATATTTTTTTCAGTACTCCTTCCATCAAAAACTAAGCTGATCCTTAATAATAATGGTGAAAATATAAATGTGAAAATTATAGTCCATTCCTTCCTTGTTGTACTTAAAATTGCATACATTATATTTTGGTGTTATTTATATTTCTCAGCAATATAAAAGAATAATCAATATATTGGAGAGTATGAAACAGAAATCAATATCTTGGAACATTTTTAGTGGTAGCTAAAGCAATGTTAAATTATTGCTTTAACTTAGACAATGTTATTTATTGCTTACTATCCTTGGCCCTTTGTTTTGAATTTTGTTGCTCTTTTTTGTTTGTTGAAATTACATAGTGTAATCTTGTTTCACTGAATAGGTGGTACCTGGCTCAATCGTAGTAAGTCCTAGTGGATAATCACTTAAATATGAGCCAGCAGTGTGCTGCTGCCAACAAAAAAGCCAATGTAGTCCTAGGCTGCATTAACAAAGGGATAAAATCAAGATCACATGAAGTGTTAGTACCACTTTATAATGCCTTGGTATGACCACACTTGGAATATGGCATCCAGTTTTGGTTCCACAATAAACAAAGATGTTGAGACTCTAGAAAGACTGCAGAGAAGAGCAACAATGATGATTAGGGGACTGGAGGCTAAAACATGAAGAACAATTATAGGAATTGGGTATGTCTAGTTTAATGAAAAGAATAACCGGGTTGACATGATAGAAGTGTTCCAATATCTAAGGGGCTGCTACAAAGAAGAGGGGATTAACCTATTCTCCAAAGCACCCAAAGGCAGGACAAGAAGCAATGGATGGAAATTAATTAAGAAGAGAACCAACCTAGAACTAAGGAGAAATTTCCTGACAATTACAATAATTAATCAGTGGAACCACTTGCCTCCAAAACGACTTACCTCCAGAACACTGGAGATTTTTAAGAAGAGATTGGACAGCAATTTGTCTGAAATGCTGTAGGGTTTCCTGCTTGAGCCGGAGGTTGGATTAGAACACCTCCAAGGTCCCTTCCAACTCTCTTATTCTATTATTTTCAAAGCCATTTGAATTGATGATCCTATTCCATGAGGAGACATGGAGAATGTCCCCTCTGTCAGATCAGAAGGGGTGGCAAAAACCATAGGGGACAGGCATCTATAAGTAATCTGATGACCAGATTGGAAAATGGGGTCTGTGGGAAGACTATTATTATAGGCTATAATTGTAGAATTTTGCAAGCTGGATTGTGCTTTACTTGTCCTCCTTCTTATATCCCAGTTAATCAGGGAAGTACATGGCTGTGTCTCTTCTGAATGCTATCTTGTATTATAGCAATAGCACTTAGACTTATGTACTGCTTCATAGTGCTTTACAGCCCCTCTCTAAGTGGTTTACAGAGTCAACATATTGCTTCCAACAATCTGAGTCCTCATTATACCGACCTCGAAAGGATGGAAGGCTGAGTTAACCTTGAACCAGTGAGAATCGAACTACTGGCAGTCGGCAGAATTAGCCTGCAATACTGCATTGTAACCTCTGTGCCATCATGCTATTCCAAGATCTAAGGAATATTTCAGCTCTCTTTGCGTGCACTCACAAATTGCACATTAAAACTGCCTGGGGGAGTGTTACATCATACTCTTAAGCAAATGAATTTGCCTTGTTGTGTGAATCTAATATACAAGGAAACCATTCTTGCTTAAATTTAATCTCAAATTTATACTGTTACTGTATACTGTTAATTTTGCCATTGCTGTTATTCTTCAGATTTAGTTTCCAAGTTTGATATTGTCAGGATAGTATTTCTTTTTCAATGTTGGGACCAGCCAGCATATTCTTAATAATTTTTTTGCATGAACTCCCCCCCCCTTACATACACACACACACACACACAAAATTGTATTAAAGCTAAGACTATGCTAAGACAGCAGTCTGTATTGCATTGTTAATCTGTATATTTCTTCCCAGCTTTATTCGTCTTGCTGATTATCTTATAGTAAATACTATGCACATCTTGGCAGTTAAATCTGTTGCTGCTCTTTTGCGTTATCTTACTGATAAGTTGAAGAAGACACCACTTGCAGAAATTATCCAGACATGGAATACAGATGCAGTAGCACCTGAAGTTGTGGAAAAGAAGGTAATATTGACCAAAGTGAGATGTTCAAACTGTTGATCAAGAATTTAAGAAAACTTACTGCTTAAGGCAGAAATCATTGTTTTCTATCGATCAATTATCAAACATTTTGTTTTGATCTAATATATTATTCTTGACTTCATATCTTGTGAAAATGTGTTTCTTGAATCCATTTTATCAATGGAAATTAATGAAACTTACCTATACAGTATATTTTATAACTGGAAAATAATTCAAAGAGTTCTGTGTATATAGGCTTATAACATAAGAAATGGTATGTTAGTGCTGAACAATATCCAGAAAAGTCTCTGCAAATCCTAACCAATAGTTAAATAATATTCATTTTGAGAAAATGGATTAGGTCTGATTAAAAATATCAATTTTAGACAAAAATTTAATAACATTATTTTAAGAAATGAGTATCAATATTAAATGATTTTTGTAAAAGGATGCAATTTAAAAATAATGAATACAACATGATATGACAGAAGAGAAAGGAGCACAAAAACAGCTGAATTTCCTCATAATCAGGAAGATCTGATTCAAAGGTAAGAATTAAACATTGATGATCAAACCCCACAAAATGTATAATTAAATAAAATCCTTAAAACAAAAAGCAACATGGTCAAAGAAAAGAAAGACTCTCAACAACATTCCTAACTGAAACATGCAGTTGTCCTGGGCCAGTGAACATTTTCTGGCTTAAGTGCCTATTCCAGGAGTAGGCAACCTTGGCTCTTTTATAACTCGTGGACTTCAACTCCCAGAATTCCTGAGCCAGCTATGCTGACTCAGGAATTCTGGGAGTTGAAGTCCACGAGTCATAAAAGAGCCAAGGTTGCCTACCCCTGGCCCTATTCTATCTGAACCATTGCTTCAAAATTACGCCTGTTCTAGCAAACAGGGAACTTTTTAGGTTGGAGGACTTTAGAGTTTCAGTTCATTGTCTAATTTAAAAAAGGACTTAATTCTTTCTTTCTTTCTTTACTCCAGGGAACTGCTTCAGTGATTATAGAGGAAGAGGAGGCATCCATTCCAATGTTTCTTGTAGAGCTAATTTTAGAGATCCATGCATTGCTGTTTGAACCAACTATGGAAGAGTTCCAGGTTAAAGTTCATTTAGTTTTAAAAAGGTTTCCATTTTAAAAAAAGTAATCATGGCGCACAGGGTACTTGAAAAAGTAATTTTTATAATTATGAGTCAGATGTAATTCTCGACTGGTATAGATTTAGGCTGGAAAGTGCCTAGAAATAACTTGATAAACTGAGTAATAACTCAGACTAGAATATTTGAGAAGTACGGTCACTCTAAAACAATACATAATGAACAAGGACAACCTATTTTTTCTTAATGAATTGAATTGCTATTAGTGTAGGACAACAGGGATAAAGCTAGCAGTGTTTAAAAGGCACTCTATGAAGGCATTTTGGCAATGACAAAGATGCTGTGAAAATTAGGAAGGAAAGAAAAGTACATAACCTGCAACAGAAAAAAAACTCCAAGTTTATAATTCAGGGGTGACTGTGTTTAAAATAAAAACCTCTGGGTAGCCCTGCCACTTGTCCACTGACATAGAATAGCCATGGCACTTAACTTCTTATTTATTAACATGACTATCAGTGACACTATACAAATGTGACTCTGATTTTGATATCTCTATCTTTTTTTTATTCGGCTTTAGTATTACGTATGAATTTTGGAAACATATTTCAATTTTAGGTGGCATTCATGTTTTATGCATTATTGTTATTGTAATTTAATACACAAAAAACAGTCTTCGTATTCTTTTTTAAGAAGTGAAAACTTTTAAAATAGAAAAACTAGAGACCTGGCATTCAAAGTGTTAGTTTTATGTATCTTCACGAGAAATCTTACAATTGTTGTGAAAGATTCAACAGTATTTATGTGAAGAGCTCTGAAGATGCTATGCAAACCTTCATCTCTAGCATAAACAATTTAACTGATTTTCTTCTGTTTGGTCAAACAGGATACCATGGCAGACATTGTGTCTCAGTTTCAAGCAACTGTGTTATCTGTTGCAAACCTTGTTCCCGATCAATATTTTGATGCCTTCACTCGTCCTGTTATTAACAACAAAATTGAAGAAAAAACATGTGGTGAAGGACCAAGCTTATCAACAATGTTTAAAGATGATAAACATCTTCAAAATATTATCCTACAAATAAAGGTACATAACACCCTTGTTTATAAAATTATTTACATTTAAATATTTCATATTGCAGAGGTTATTCAAGTAACAGTTTTAGACCTGATTGATTGAGTCACAGAATAACAAAATAACAGAGTTGGAAGGGACTTGGAGGTCTTGTAGTCTAACCCCTTGCACAAGCAGGAGACCCTATACCACTCTGGACAAATGGCTGTCCAATCTCTTCTTTAAAATCTCCAATGATGGAGCACCCACAACTTCTGAAGGCGACCTCTTCCACTGATTAATTTTTCTCACTGTAAGGAAATTTCTCCTTTGTTCTAGGTTGGTTCTCTCCTTGATTAGTTTCCATCCATTGCTTCTTGTTGTGCCTTCTGGTGCTTTGGAAAATAGGTTGACCCCCTTTTCTTTGTGGCAGCCTCTCAAATATTAGAACACTGCTATCATGTCACCCCTAGTCCTTCTTTTCACTAGACTAGCAACCCGTTCTTCATATGTTTTAGCCTCCAGCCCCCTAATCATCTTTGTGGCTCTTCTCTGCACTATTTCCAGAGTCTCAACATCTCTTTTATAATATGGCAACTGAAACTGGATGCAATATTCCAAGTGTGGTCTTACCAAGGTGTTATAAAAAGATACTAACACTTCATGTGATTTTGATTCTATCCCTCTGTTAATGCAGCCTAGGATTGCATTGGCTTTTTTGACAGCTGCAGCACACTCCCGGCTCATATTTAAGTGATTGTCTACTAGGATTCAAAGATCCCTCTTGCAATTACTGCTCTTGAGCCAGGTTACACACCTACTCTGTACCTGTACATTTGATTTTTCTTGCCTAAGTGTAAAACCTTACTTTTGTCATTACTTCTCCTTTGAATTGGTTGCTATCTGTCTAGGGCCATCCCTTGACACCCCCAATTTGAATGTGGAACTCCTTCCGAGTTCAGAGGAAGTTCTTGTTTTCCCACGCCTGTTTACATCTTCAATATCTTTAAATATGTTATAATACTACTTCTTGTGTCTTTTAAAAAGTCTATGAAACTCCTTGTTAAGTTTCTTTCTGGGATTTTTGTCTTTGAGTCATTTTTGTCTTTGAGTCTTCTTGACAAATTCCAGTTTGTTCTGACATCCAGTTTGCTTTCTTCTCTTTCTTCATTTAGTGCGGTCACCTTTATCCTTAATAACCTAAGTTCATTCCATAATTAATCTGGTTCTGTATCAAGGAGAATCACGACTTCAACGGAATTCCTTATGTTCGCCTTCAAAATGCTGGGTATATGCTCAAGATCATATAGTAGAAACTGACTGACTTTTTTCTTCTTAAGCTTAACTTGGAACTTGCATATGAGCAGTTTGTAATTTTTTTCCACAGTCAGCACCTGACCATGTTTTGGATGCTATAATTGAGCTCTTCCACCTCCTTTTTTTAGCAATAATATCTTCAATTTGATTTCTATATAACCCTATCTGATAATGTCTAAGTATAGAGGAATCATTTTGGTTGTTTGAAGACAGAGTCAGCTATGAACTGGCAGAAATTGCAAAGGTGGTCTCCTGTTTCTTAAGCCATACAATCTAACTACAGTACATTTTCCTCTTTAATGTTTCCAACTTTGGATTCTGGTCTCCAATCACAGAGCAGCACTTCTTGCTTGCATATTATGTCAAATTCAAATTGAACTTGATCACATAGAAGTAATTAATCTGTTCTTCTGCATCGGTGGTTTGGGCATAAAATGTTGCCCACTAGGTCTAATAAATATTACATTATTATAGCCAATTACTATTCCTACCGTGCCCTTCCTAAATATAAAAATAACACATTTTTTTTGTTTTTCATGTCCTGTGTAATAAACAATGTGAACCTCCGACTGTGTCCATCTCAATTTACTGAAGCCTAAGGTGTCAATTTATAGTCATTTCATTTCATCTTACACTGTGTTGAGCTTTCCTGTGTTCATGCTTCTTATGTTCTATGTTCCCACCGTAATTCTATCTTGAACCTTTGGCTTTTCTTTTCTTATATGGCAACATCAGCAACTAGACATCCCAAAGACTTTAATCTAGCTATGTTATCACCACCATTACTATTCTGAAAGATCTTTAGCTCTTCCTCAGTAGCATGTTGAGTGCCAGTGGCCTAAGGGCCTATCGTCCAGCACTACATCATCTATCAATTTAGTTTTTCTATCCATGTGGTTTTTTTTGGCAAAAATAAAGGAATGGATTTACTATTGTCTTCTCCCGTGTGGTATGAATTGATGCCTTTGCTATTGTCCCTAAAGTTATCATGTGCCTCCAATATTTCCTATGTTGCTGCTGCCCAATATAGGTGGCTTCACACTTATTCCATTCCTAGTCCTTTTCTTCTCTGATAAAAGTGCTAATATCAATAATTTTTAAAGATATTCTTACAACAGCTATTATATACCTATATCTATATATCTAAAATGAATGGAAGACACTATGGAAAGTCAGTGGGCAAAATAAACTGGCTAATAAAATTTCTCTGAACCAAATTGTAAGGTTAAACACATATCTCCGTCTAATACATGCAAAAGGGAAACAACAGTTGTGGGGGTTTGTTCAATACTGGAGTAATAATCCACTAATAACAGTGGGAGATTTGTTAATGCAAATTGCAGCTGCTTTGGTGGCTTGCGATAATGATTATAGTCAAAGCTCATTGATGTCAATTAGAGGTTTCCTTGCAACACAAATTTGGTTTTGGAATAATATTATTCACCTTGCTGTGAATAATACCATAGCAAGGAGTGTCGATAGATCTTTTCCATTATCTACAACTGCTATTTAGGTAATTAATAATAGTTTAGTCCTCAGAAAAAGAATAGTACACGCTTTACAGCTTTGGTAGTGGGCACCACAAAGTGGAGTCAAATTAACTATGGAATGCATTTATTAGGTGTTCCTTAAAAGCTAAGTGCAAATGAAAACTTAATAGATTTTTTTTTTAGAAAAAATGTTGGATTTGGGTAATGCTTAGGTTCACCTCAGCTGAAGTTTACATCTTTTAAGAATTTTTCTTAAAAAACAAACGTCTGATTAAATGCAGGTTGTACAGTTTCTCCTAATATAATTATATTTCAAGAACATTAATCCATTTAATACATATTCATTTATATCTCACTTTTTTCTGAGAATCTCCTCGTTTTATCTTTACAACAGCAATCCTGCGAGTAAGCTAAGCTGAGTAAGAATGCCTGGCTAATAGCAACATGGTTGTGAGTCCTTAAATCTGGATCTCTCTGGTAACAGTGCACAGTAAAAGCCTACTGAACTCTATTAAACTACTGTCTTTCTACTCTTAAAAACAATTTGGTAGTAAATAGCAAGCTAGCATCATTACTACTTCCTTTAGGGTAGGCATTTCAACTTAGTTTTATATGCTTGCTGTCATTGCTCCTCTGTAAGGGTAACACAGCCTAGTAATAAATGACAGTGAAAAATATAAAATTGAAGAAATGAAATAGAACCATCATATGGATAGAAGTTAATCAAAGATTATAATAATTTAAATATCTTTTTCATTTTTTAGGAAACAATTGATTCAGCATTTGACGCAGCAAATATATATGCAGCTACTTTTGAAAAGTTTCGATTGTTTTTCAGAGAAAATGAAAGCCTTGATTTGAAAGCTCTAAAGAAAGAAGAACCTGGTAAATATTATTTAATAATAATAATAATAATAATAATAATAATAATAATAATAATAATAATAATAATAATAATAATAATAATAATAATAATAATAATAATAAAAAAGTTGGAAGGGACCTTGGAGATCATCACGTCCAACCCCCTGCTCAGGCAGGAAACCCTACACCATTTTGGACAAATGGCTGTCCAGTCTCTTCTTAAAAACTTCCAGTGTTGGAGCATTCACCGTTACATTTTTTTGCCCCGTTTGATAAGAAAATGATTTTCTTAACAGAGTGAGTTGTGCCTGTAGACATTTGAAATATCTAAATTATAGAAAATCCCCCGAATGTGGCATTAAACAAGTTCATTTACTGTAGGTGGCAGCATCTAGCCAACTTTGATCAAATTTGGAAATGTTAAGCAGGACCTTGTGGGATGACCATCAGAACGTCCCAGAAGAAACATGAGAAGTGACTTACGTAGGGTTGCCTGAAATACATGCAATTCCGTAAAGTCACTAGGAGTCAAGTTTAATTTGAAGGAGATCTTATTTTTATTTATCTGACAATGTTATATTTCATATGTTTTCAAAAAGGAAAAGAGGCTTCCTTTTTCACTTTCCATGGTAAGGATCTCTTACTACATTCTGAAATAAAGCTAAGGCAACTGTACCTAAACCAATCTTAACAGCCCTTTAAAAGATGGTCTCTGTCTCTTTAGCCATTACGTTAGCATTGCAAAGCGGCCCTAGACAAAGATACATCAGATTCAGCATTGTGCAGCTGTGAGTGGTGTGTAGCTGCTCATTGACTATGTGTGGTATGATATGGTGGTTAAAATGGAAATATTTGTGGGTGTATCCATAATTAAATTTGGCAGGTTAATGCGTAGTGTTCTATAGTAATGAACTTTTAATGTTTTTTAAAATATTTTTTTAATCCTGCTTTTTATTATTTTTATAAATGACTCAAGATGGCAAACATACTGAATACGCCTTCCTCTTCTTCTTTTCTCCATAACAACAACCCTGTGAGGTGAATTGGGCTGAGAGAAAGGGATTGACCCACAGTTATTCACTCACAATTTCCTGGTTTCTAGCCTGTGCCTCAATCACTAAACCAAAACTGCTCTCCAAATGACATAAGTATTAAAGGATAATAGATAAAGTGTGTGCCTGTATACACCCACACACATACACACAAAAAGAATACATTCTTGCTTTAATGGCCTAATGGGGCAAGGGGTATCTTTTAAGCTGAATGTCCACTAAATGTCAAAAGGGATTTTTCTAAAACATACTTGTACATGTGACGATTTAATAATCTGCTTCACTGTGTTTTGGATCACTATTGTCTGAAATTCAGACCATAGTTAGGTCCATTAATATTTGTCTACGAAATCTAAAATTCTCTCTACCACGTGTCAACTTTAGGTTTCCTTTTTGAACTGAATTTGATTAAAAATAGAGGGAGACTGCAATATTCTATTATAGAATGGTTGGCTAGTTCCAAGAGCACCTGGCATGCAAAGTGTGTGTAGTGTAGATAATTCTACATTCTTTCTGACTCTTTAATTCACTAGTAGTTAATTGCACTTGAAAGGCAAAATGATGCTTAAGAGGGTACAGAGTCTACTTGAAGCATCAATCTGTAAACAAGCCTTTTCCCAGGATCACACTGGAATTGGAAACTGCAATCCACAAAAAAGTCACAACCACTGTAAGGAATTGCGAAGCATTGCTGCACATAGGTGTTTACACTAAGTTTCATGATGAAAAGAATATGAAATATGCACTGCAGTGACACAACATCCTTTTTGTTGTTTGCCTTCCTTGACTTCTTACATCCCTCCATAGATATTTTTTTATCCTTAATCTTTACCCACACCGAACCAAATAGTACCAGTTCGATTGGTGCGACACAAAAATCATCGGCCACGCTGCCACCTGTCACACTCGTGAGTTCATCGAAGCCTGGCACTCCGCAAGCAATTCCATCAACAGACACATCGACCTACAATCAGCCACGAACCCCTCAGAATCACCAGCTAGAGACAGCACTGACCCTCAACCAACCCCCCTCCCACCAGCAATTCACCTCCCAATGATCCTGACCTGATATGACCTACCCATCACAAGACTCACTGATGACTCACACCTGACCCATCACAAACCCCTCACTCAACACATCCATACTTGAAGCTCTATAACAGAAGAACACAGACACTGATATCCCCTAAACCAGGGGTAGGCGACCTTGGCTCTTTTATGACTCGTGGTGACCCATGCTGGCTCAGGAATTCTGGGAGTTGAAGTCCACGAGTCATAAAAGAGCCAAGGTTGCCTACCCCTGCCCTAACCTCTGCTGAAGATGTTACCTAGCCTGGTAACAAAACATTCAGAAATCAACCCACAAGCTCGGAGAACGAACCTTCATCCTCATACCTTTTTGTGCTGTGAGCATGCCTGCTGTCTGAAGTGCTATTGTACCTTTCAATCCAAAGCTGTTCACAGTTGTAATAGATGTGTTAATCTCACGAAATTGGCAATGAATATTCCATAAAGGCAGTACCATTTTTTATAGCAACCATTTTTTAAAAAGTTAAAAGCTTTCTCATTTTCCAGGATGTTTTATCAGAGAAACACTTACAAAACAGAATGGAATATGCTATTGTTAAGCATATGGCTGGCCTAAAAGCCTACCACTTCTATAAAATTGTATTACTGTTTGCGTCTAGATTTCATAACATTCTGGAATTGGGAGTGGTCGCTTTCGTGCAAAATAAACATTTGTTAATTTCTGTAAAAACTCTCTATAGACCAGACAGGAGAAGATAATCCACTTTGAATGATCTCTGTTCATCACTAAAAAAAATAAGAATCTTTTTCCCAAATAAAAAGGGGGAAATGTATTTGTATTCTTTCCCATGAGGAAATACAGTAGTTTTTTTTCCCCCAAGCCATGTGTAAATGACTAACGGTATCCTTCTGTTTAAAATAAACAGATGTTAAATTTTTTGCTGAACAACTGGAGAAATATCACAGACAACACAAAGAAGCTTTGGCAATAAAACAAAAGAGGCCACTAGGTTTGTTCCTCATAGACGCGAAAAAGTTGAAAGACAAACTAACTCCATCACCAAAGCGCTGTTTGGAGGTAAATCCACATTGCCCTTTAACTTCAGTTTTAATGTTCCCATGCCAGATTGGAAATGAAATGAGGCCAATATAAAAATAAGAAAGTTTCTGCATACAAAGGGGGTTTTCCAGAAAAAAAAGTGTGTGTGAGAGAGACAATGTAACATCAAGGATATATGGATTATTGGTTGATTGATTGCTGATTGCATTTATATCCCAATTTTTCTTTGGAACCTAATAGAAATGTTCCTCCGTTTAGTCCTTACAATAACCTTGGGGTTAAGGGTTGGGTTAAGACGGAATAACTGGCTCAAAATTATTGTGCATTGAACTCCATGGAAAACCTTTGAAAGAAAATGCTATGGAGCAGAATCAGATCCTATTATGCAATCTCCTATGACAGCCTGGGCATCTCTCCCTCCAGAATAACTGAAATTTCACCAGATCTCATGTGCTACTGCAATTTCATGACATTTGTATATTCTTGAACAAAATCCTGAAAAAATGTTGATCTTGCAAAATTTTGAAATCAAGTACCATTTTAGCCATTTGTAATCATTTAAAAACAGTTTTAGGGGCATCAGGGGTGCCCTCGGGGTGTGGTCGGCGTTGACTTCTACTTCCAATAGCTAGAAGACCTTTTGCAAAATTCTGTCGTCAATTTAATACACCATGAACCAAAATTTTATCTATTTTGCCTTTATTATTTTTACAAACAACTCAAGGTGGCAAACATATCCAACGCGCCTTCCTCCTCCTATTTTACTCACAACAACCACATGAGGTGCGTTGAGCTGAGAGAGAGTGACTGACCCAAAGTCACCTATGTCCATTTAATCATGATGTGGTACTTACTCATTATGAGCTACGTAGCTACGTAGTCTTGACTGAAGAATAGTCACGTTAAGTCAGTTTCTGTCTAAATATAACTTTTCCTTTTATAATCTGTCCACCGCTTTTAATGATTTCTTTCGCATTTAGGTTATTAATGAAATGCTTCCTGTAATTGCAAAGAAAAAAGTGAACACCATCCTTGCTGAGGCAAATGATGCTAAATTTAAACTTGAGTTTCTGCCATATACAACTACTGAATATGTGGTGACCTTGACATTCCTTGATGAAATACAAGATAGGGTAAGTTCACCATACTGCTTTTATTAAGTAGCACGGGCTAACAAGTTTCATTTTGCTGCCAGAGCCAGATGCATTTTGCTTGTTTTTAGATACTCTTGACACCTTCTATCTACAGTTAATGAAACCCATATTCTCATAAGAAAACAAATAGATCCTTTTGAACTGGGTGTATTTTTTTCAAGCAGTAGCTAGCCAAAGCCCTTATACCAGTGATGGCGAACCTTTTACAGACCGAGTGCCCAAACCACAACCCAAAACCCACTTATTTATCACAAAGTGCCAGGGCTGCATCAGCATTGTGGTTCCCTTAGGGGGGGGCAGGGAGGCGCCTCTAAGTGCCACCTCTGGCACGCAAACCGGGGGTGCAAAAATGGGGCACCGTGCTGCAAGGTGCAATGGCCACCACCACGCTGCGGAGTGCAGATACAAGGCGCTGCACCATGCAAGAGCGGGGCATGGCTAGTAAGTATCACGCAGGCACTAGCCCCGCCCCATTTGCAGCACGTGCATGCTTGCGGCCCCCTGCACACATGCACGCATGTAAAATGCTTCCCCCTCCCTTTTCTTCCAGTCCACCAATCGACAATGGTTGGTGACCTCTGCTCTACCACCTCTATTCGAACTTGCTAGTCAGCCGCTTCGCCACCTTTGTGCTGGGTGGGGCTCCTGCTCCAGGTGGCGGTGGCGGCCTAATGGACTTGCTGCTGATGGCGGAGGCGCGCGTGCCAACAGAGAGGGCTCTGAGTGCCGCCTCTGGCACGCGTGCCATAGGTTCGCCACCACTGCCTTATACAGTACACATTTGCTTTCCTGGGAGATAAATATAATGTAATGTGCATGTTTAAATCAGGTCTTGCTCTACCTCCTAGTTGAAATAAACAGGGCATGAAACTATGTATCACAACGGGTTATGTGGCCTATCAAAGAATAATTTTCCTTCACATCTGCCGTGCCTGGTTAGTGATCACTAGATGTCTCCAACATCTTTCACAATCCCTTGCCATTGGCATGTTGGCACTAACTGAAGTACAAAATATTTAGAAGACAGCAGGATGTTGGAGATGTACAGTAAAATCAGTGGAGTTTACACCCCGTCTAGTTAGTACAGGCAGTACTTGTTTTCAGCCACAATTGGCAAGTCAGTTGTTAAGTGAAGTGATCGTTAAGTAAAAACCGGACTGTGCTTTTGATCTTACTTCAGCTTTCTTTTGCTTTACAGACCTTCAAAGGTCATAAATATGAGGATTGGTCATAAAATCACTTTTTCATCACCGTTGTAACTCCAAATGGTCACTAAAACAAGGCAGTTGCTAAATGAGGATTACCTGTATTGTAAAAGCTGTAGAAAATCACATTGGGTATATTCATCCAAGAGGAAAAATGATTCTACAATTAGCAGTATCTTCTGCAAGACCAATCAAAATGTTACAAAGTCTATAGATTTTCTTTTGGTTATTTGATTCACAGTCAGTGTCTCTAGCCACATCGAACTTGATCTTAAAAATGAATTTGCATTATTAGTTTTTATACACGGTTGGCGAATGTCCCTAGGTTTAGTCAAAAGGTAAAGGCACACCACCAATACCATCAACCATTGTATCCTCTTGGATGGTCTCTGGGGGCTGGAGTTATTTGCTGGGGTTTTGCTTCTTCCTCAGTGGGCAATTCCAGGTAATGGTGGTAGAAAACAATAGATTGATTTGATGGTTGCCTCATTGTGGGGATCTATTGGGATCGGTTCCTTTCCCTTCCGTTTGAAGTGGTTTGAGTTCATTTGGCAGTTTAGACTCTGATAGTGTTATATCCTGTTGATGCTCAGTTTTATATTGTGATTTTTGAGCCATGCTGGAAATGTTGCCAAAGTCCTCTTTAGTTCTTGGAGACTGTGAAGGTCTGGAAGAGAAAGAACAATTGAAACTGACTTCTAGCAAGATAGAGGTGCTATTTGTCTACTGTGATTCTATGTTGGCCCCAGTGATTACTGTGAAGGAGGAGGCATTGTCATAAGGGAGCGGCACTTGGAATTGTGGCTCCTGTTAGGGAAACAAGTAGAGGCTGTGGTTATGAGGGATTTTGCCTTCCCTCTGTTTGGATGATCCAGGAACAAAAGAAATCCCCCTCCTCCTCCTCCTCCTCCTCCTCCTCCTCCTCCTCCTCCTCTCTTTTCTCTCAACCTGGGAGCCAGTGGGGGAAGGAATCACTGTCTCCACCATGACCCAGAGGCAGGGGCATGTCCAACACAATGAATGTTGTTCTTCATCTTATATAGTATATATATGAAACTACTAGGAGTGGTCATCCCAGTTTGTGGTAAGTGTACCGATGATTCTCAGTTGTACAAGTAGTCCTTGAGTTATGATTACACAGGAGCCTTCCCATGATGGTCACAAGTGGTGATGGCCATTAAGCAAGATGACTGCACTTAATGACCCCCACCCCCTGCTCTCCATGATGCTGCCGTTAAACGAACAAGCATGTTATTAAGTAGAGCAGAAAGTGGCTCAAATTTGGGAGGCACAGGGAGGCCTGGTGCAGGCCCAGACCTGACTGCCCAGGCTCTCCCAAGGCTTTCCCCCATCCATGAGGTACCCCGACTCCACTTCTTAGCCCTCAGAGTTCCCACAGTCCTTCAGCTTCCATTCCACCAATTGACCAAGAAGAAATCAGGCCGGCTGCAGATTCCTTCCCACTCAGGAACTTACAGGATTCAGCCTGCTCCAGACCCAGCAGCACTCTGCTTACCTTTTTGTTTGTTTTTTGCAGCTTCTGAGACATGTGTCCTGCCCAATACAGAACCAGCTTTCTTACAGAGCCAGCCTTGTGGCAAAGCAGGTGTCATTCTTGTGCACCTGTAGGAGGATCCCTTTGTAAGAAGGTCTCCCAAGCTCCGCAAACAAATGGACCCTCCTTAAAAATGGAGAATAGCGCCTGTTGCAGAATAGCACGAATTTGGCTAAGTCCAATGCCTAAGGGAAAAGCTAGATCTTGATTGTCCAAAAAGCAAAAAAGGAAGGGGCTGTCTATATGTTAGTGGGGAAGTTGTTTCATAGGGTAGGCATGGCTATAGAAAAGGCTCACTTCCTAGATCCCTGCCAGATGACAACACTTACGTAATAGAGAGGACCTGGAGCAAGTCCAATCTAGTTGGATGAGAATATGACTTCAGTGAAATGAAGTCCCTCAAACAACCTGACTCTGTGCAATATAGGGCTTTAAAGGTGATGCCTAGTACCTTGAATTGCACCTGGAAAGAAATTGACTTAGCCAGTGTAGCTTGCATAGCAACAGCATAGTATGGGCAAGCTGTGCAGGGCCTCAAACCGTATGCATTACTGCATTCTGAACTACCTGAAGTTTCTGAATAGTTTTTAAGTGTGTCCTCCTGTAGAGTACATTGCAGTAGTCCAAATGGGAAGTGACTACTAGGGCATGGGTGATCATGAGCAGGTAAGTCATTGAAATTATCTTTCCCACTCTAGAGAGAGTGAGAGCAAGAAGGAGTGCATTTGAACTTGATTTTTGGGTAGGTAGTGGGTAACACTGATCTCTTGGTGCAATTTTTATATCAGTGTCTGCCCTATATTTAAAATGGCATTTTACCACAATTTAGAATCACTGAGTGTTGTAAGCTAACCTGTCAAAGTATTTGCAAACAAAATGGAAAAATAATTTGTTTTTACCTTCCCTCAGATTGAAATTCTTGACGATGAATCAAAAGTGGTTTCTAAGATGTATCAGCTTATTGAACAGTATATTATACCAACTCCCCCTGAAGACTTTGCTTTGTTTTCAAGTTTGAAGCCAACTATTGTTGCTGTTCGTAATGCAATTGATAAATCTGTGGGTGAAAGAGATGCCAGCATTATTAAATTCTGCCAGCTTCTAGATGAAGATGTTCATGATCTAAATGAAGAAGTTAAAGAAGTTAGACTTCTAGCACAGGTAATTTAATTTAATTTAATTTAATTTAATTTAATTTAATTTAATTTAATTTAATTTAATTTAATTTAATTTAATTTAATTTAATTTAATTTAATTTAATTTAATTATTTAATTTAATTTTTTTGTAATCCATAAATTACTGAATTATGGTTCGTCACAGCCAGGTGTTTAAACTGGATTTGTATTTTTATCCAGCTATCAAGTCCTTCCCCTGGGCTTGTGATAGACAGATGTTGATGTTTTATACTGTTAAAGGTATTGTCACAGAATGTAAGCTGTTCCAAGTAAAGCTGCCTTTTGCAACTGACCAGTGATCAATGCCAATTTTGTCAATGCCACTGGTGTTCAAGTAGTCCTCCAGTTGTTTTGCGATTGCATCCATGGGCCTATTACAATTGGTACTACATGTGCTTTCTTTTGCCACAGTCGTTCTATTTTTATTTGCAGGTCTTTGCAATATTATTGTTATTATTTACTAGTTATTTACTATTATTAGTTTCGGTAGTTGTGTGTGCTAAACCCAAGATGAATTAGAAAGCCATGCTATGTGGTAGAATCATGCTTTCCCAGCAAAAATTCTCAAGGTTAGCATCATATTTTAACATGTTAAAAAACATGTTTTGGGTAAAAAGGCAATGAAAAGTCTTTGACTAAGAAGCAAGAGAAGCAATTGACAAACCCAATGGATCCAGTATAAGGAACTTCATAAATCAGGTATTCCATAAGGACTTTGGGTTTTTGAATGAAGAAATATGATGAAATTTGATTTCCTTCAGAAAATCTGTTTTAATGGTAGACACACATTAAAAGTGATAGGAAAACCTTTGTAGCCCCACTTTAAATAGATAGAACTGGATAGAATTTGAAGGCTGAACAGCATGTACAGCATCCTCTAACTCAGGGGTGTCAAACTGTCGGCGTGCAGGCCGGACGCGTCATGATGAAACTGCGCCCACCCCATTGCTGGCAATGGGGAAAAAGCTCTGATAGGTTGCGCGATGTCACGTGACATCGCGAGTTTGACATGTCTGCTAACTCATTCTTGGAAAATCAGGGCCATGAGAAAAAGACTTCCCAATTCTGGTTTTCCTGTATGAGCAGGTGATAGAGTTCTTGAGAGCCATCCATTTATTATGTATTCCTGCTCAACTGAACTGCTCTTTTATCAAGTATTGAAATAAATGTTTGCCTAGCTCTTTTTTCAGTTGATCATAGAGAAAAAGTAATCAGTGTTACACGGAAATTTTTGTAGTAAGAATTAAATCAAGCAGAAAAAAATAATTGCATTTACGGTATATTCTACTGTACACTGAATATAATCTCTCTCCTCACTGGATTTAATTGTAATAGTTTGGTGTTCAACATTTATATATAACCCTAATGATAACTGATTATAAAATGACTTTTGATCTTTTTTAATAGGATCCTCAGATTCTGGACGCAGATGCTGATCAAGAGAGAATAAAAATAGTTCTAAGCGAGTTGCAAGCCGTTCTTGATGAAATACAAAAACGGGCATTCCAGTATAAATCCTATCAGAAGAACTTCAAGGTAATTTGTCCACAGTTCCACTTTGGTCTGTAGATGGATGTTTAAATTATGCTTTGCAAAATGAAACAAGTCCCATAATGCATGATATAGTATACTATATTATTTGTAACCCTGGCCTGCAATAGGAGGGCTAGGTTCAAATTCCCACTCTGTGGTAGAATGTTGAATGCCTTGAGCCTAACCAATTTCATAGGGACACAATGATAAAATCAGAGTTAGGAAAGAGTGCTTGAATTCCTAATATCCTTATTTAGTTTATTTAATCCTAATTCTGCATATTCCAGAATGGTTGTATTGAAACAATAGCAAATGGTTTGTTGATTCTAATCCTGCTGGTTCTTATAATACAATGCTGAACAGAATACAGTTATAATGTACTGTCCAAGGTCTCTCTCTCCAATAATATTTCTTTATTGGGGATTTGGGAGTGTTTTCATTTCTTTTCTGCATTCTACTCAGCACTTACATTTCTGGGTCATGTGAAAGAATTGAAGTAATCACACAAATGTTTACTTAAACACAGGGCAATTAACAAAGCTACAGGAGAAAATACAGGAGTAGCTTTGGTAACTGGATGCAGCTCTTAAGTGTGCAGTGAATAAATATTTGTGGTTAATTAAAAATATTCATTCATAATTCACAATAGTGTATGGAACCACAATAGCCCCATGCTAATCAATATGTTTTAAATTACATCTGGACTAATTCAATCATGTGCAAACAGGGTTTTTTTTAACCATCCATCTCATGAGGCTATGAAATCAATCATACATCTTTCTTTAGAACACAATACATTGTTTTACAATGCATAGTTTTGTATGTATTGTAAAACATCTTGCCGTGACATGGGTGGCAAATAAATTTGATGAATTAAATAAATAGTTTTACAATACATTGTTGTATCATGGCCATGACATGGCTCCTTTTGTCAGTCTTTTCCCTGTCTAACTTATTATTGCACCACAAGCAATTGTGTCCCTGCTACTGTTGAGAATGTTGTAAGGAAATCTGTCTGCAAACGCCAGCTTATCTGTTCAATGATTGCTTTGTTTTTAATGCAAAAGCTAGAGTTCTTATAGGTCAGTAGTTAGCGTTTATATGAGCTGTCTGCAAGTAACCTTGCCTACAGAAAAGAAAAAGCAATGGAAAAAATAAATACAGGTAAAAGAAGGCAGCTAAATGCCAAAATTTATGCTGATATATATGTTTTGTTTTTGAGTAGAAAAATTGCTACTACAGTGACTGCAGTTTGCAGTCATGGAAGTAAAATGGAATGTTACCTCTTTGGTGATCTTGGCATGCAAAACAAGTGGACAAAGAGGTTGTTTTAATTTCCACTTGAAAACCATTTCAAATTTTACTTTGTCAGAATGCAGACTGTGCCGAATGTTTCTATACAGTATTTCAAGTAGAGCTGTTTCCTAAGCACTAAACAAATGATGCTTCTCTTTTTTGCACAGTCTTATTCTGAGACGTGATTTAATAATACAATACAAGCATAAGCTGCAATGGGCCTAACAAAGCATTGCTTCCCTCTTTCCTTTTCTTTCTGACTAGGAGACTTAGTTACCATTTCATTTTATCTCCAGAGAATTCTGCCTTATTTAAAAAAAAAAAAAGCAAGACAGAAATCATGATTTAACTAGTTAATGCTATTTTATAGCAAATAATTATGGAAACATCAGCTTTATATACTGATTATTTGAAACGGATTGATCTTTCCTCTTCAGATTTATCAGTATTTTGTATTGTATATTTTCTTAAAATATGTACCATATTTGGGCTTCAAATGAATGTAATTCAATAATTTCAATTGTTTCTTGAAAGGTGGATATAACAAAATTTGATACTTTGGAGGAAGTTTGTGCAGAGTTAAAGTTGAAACAACTGTTGTGGGATTCTCTTTCTGAATGGTCAGTACTTGAGGAAGACTGGATGGAGGTAAATTATGCATATTGGAATCTAAAATTATCCATATAAATGTAAGGATTTAACAATTTAAAGAAGTTTGGTTTTAAAGGGAGGCATAAGTGTCACTGGCCAAATAAAAGTAAATTTACTTTAATTATTCTTTGGGTTCCCTAGCTTTTAAGTTACCTTGATCTGAAAGAGAACAACTAAAAAGAAGATAAGAAGGTCCTTAATAAACAAAAAACAAAATAGAGTTATTTCTCATATATAGATATTTCTGTGTGATTGTGAATATTTTATTAATAACATTGTATATAAATTTCAGGGAAATGCAAAGTATCCATTTCCTATTTTTATATAAATTCACTACATTGAATGCATAGTTGTTATTGTTCCCTTCCCCTCCCCTCCTCTTACTCTGTCCAAGCTCTAACATTTATTTAATAGCAGCTTCATCCTTCATCCTTCTCCTCCCCTTTTTTTCTTCTTCCTGGTTTAACCAAGTTTTGACAGCTGGTTGGCAAACAGAAGAATGCCTGGCTCCATCTGTTCCATCACATTGCTTGGGCCTTCCCGGAAGTGAGAAGCATGCTGTGGAGATAAAAAAAGGATGTGATGGCTATTAGTACGAACGTGCAGTTTATCTTATTCAAAATGTATTTTTCATAGAAGCCAGAGACCTCAGGAATTGTCAAAGAAGGAAGTCTATGGTACTGACAGGAATCATGTTCCAAAGTGCAGCCTATGTCTAGAAAAGGCGACTGTCCTTTCTCTTTTTCAGTGTAATCTCTTAGGCCCCTTAAATGTCATATTGAAAGATGAACCTTTCAGGAATAACATGAAATGTGGCAATCAGTGTAGAGCAAACTTAGTGGAAAATTGATGGAAATCAAAGAATTTCTCTTCCTGAACAAAGAGAAATGCAATAATATTATGTAAAGTCTCTGCTTTTTACCTATTTTTTATGTACTTCTATTTATTTCAAAGATGTCCATCAGAACAAAAAATAATAATAAATTTACCCGAGAGTACATGGTGATTGCTTTATTTATTTATTTTCCACATTTCTATCCTGGCACAATCATGAGATTCCCAGCAGCTTACATAGTGTAAAACCAAATGAAAAATCCACAGGAATACAATTATAAAATAATAAAGCAACGGCAGTCAAACAAAAAAAAAAAACTACAAACAACAACAATAACAACAAAACAACAACAATAATAAATATGGCTTAATAAAATCAGACAAGTTTCTATGGAACATGCAATGTCTTCAAAAGATTCGAAAATGCTAATAAGGGTGCAACTAGTTTGATCTCATCTGGAGGTTATTCCAGAGTTCTTTGCTAAGTACTTCTTCACTTTAGCCCCCTGGTCCTCCCCAAAATATGGCCTTAAGTAGCAGATTCTTTCTATGCAATCCAACTGGTTGGGTCAGTACTGATTTGGACAGAGTGGTTCTGCAGATATTCAAGTGCCAAGCCATAAAGCACTTTGTAGATTAAAAACGCCACTTGAAATTGTATTTGTAAACCAAATAGCAGCTAATGCAGGGCCTGAAAAATCTAGGTTGTACACAGTGAACAACAGTAGCCACAAGTATGTATGACTCTGTGTTTTGAACCAGCTGTATTGTATGAGGTTTTTTTTTAAGGGCAGCCCCAAGTAGATCTTTTTATGGTAGACAAATCAATTTGTTTTAAGAGGCCACCTAACTTTTTAAAGGGATTCTGAATAACTTACAATTGTATTGAAACATGAAAACAAAATAATTAAAAACAAAGCACAGTAAACATCTAGGACCAAAGTACAAAATCATAAAATAATGAAAGAAAAGAAAGAACAATACCCAAGGCTAACCACTGTATAGTTCATTAAAAAAATCTCTCACTCTGAATAGGTTCTTCTCATGCTCATCTTCCAAGAAGGACCGGGTTTCCTTGGTGCGAATATCGTTCCTTGGTTTCAAAAATAGAAATACATGGAAATTTAATGCTCTTAATTTAATTCTCAGATTTAAATTTTAAGTAAGCATCCTACTGACTTTACTAAAGCTAGTATTTTTTTCTGCTCATATCTATATAAGATTTGGTTTTTGTAGATTATTTCAAAGTACATTTCTTATAACACAAATATTTAAAACGTTTTCCAAGTAATAACTTTTTTTGCTTACGTATTTTTCGCAGTCTAAATTTGATAGCTTGGATCCAGAATTGCTGAATGGTCAAGTTTCCAAATATGCTAAATTTGTAAATCAGCTGGAAAAAGGCTTGCCGCCTAATAATGTTGTCCCACAACTGAAGGAGAAAGTGGAGAAGATGAAAGAAAAGGTACAAATGGCCATTTGAAAATGTAATATAAAGAAACACTTTCAGATGGAAAAAAAATGTGAACAGGGCAATGAATTAGGGAAGTGACTAAAAGGAAATAAAAATTATACAGAAATATTCATCAAGTCAGATTCATGTTTACAATATTACATCCAGCGTTAAAGAGAAAAGACATGGATGAGTAAGGTGCTTTCAGAATAAATAGTGAAGCAAGATCAAATGTGAATAAATCAAGATATGAGTAGAGAGAATTAATAAATAGTGCATACATCTTGGTTTAAACTGCAGACCATAGTTTTAGGTCACTTCATAGCATAATAGCTAGTTGACAGAGTTCTATTGTACCATGGTAAAGTTGCTACCAAGATGTGACCTAGAGCATATTCAGATATCTAACTCTAAAATTCTTGTTTTCCATTAATCATATAACTTAAAGATCTGCAAAGGGATTAGTCATTTTAGTTATATTATTTCAGCAAAACAACCCAAAATGTCTTTTGGTATATTGAAGGCTAAATTCTATTTCATACTAGCTTCAAAGACCTCATCATTCTTCATTGGATAGGATGAGGACCCCAAAGAGACAGTCAGTGGTGGGATTCAAATATGTGAACAACCGGTTCTCTGTGTGGATGCCGCTTCCAGAAGTCCATTCTGGGTCTGGGCAACAAAAAATTAGCTACCGGTTCTGCCAAATTGGTGCGAACCGGCTAAATCCTACCACTGCTTACAGTTGTTTTAAAGGGGTAGCCAAAAGGAAGAAAGTGGAAAAAGGCAGAAGAAATTCATTACATTAGAATCAAAATTCTGCCATCTGGAAAGTCAGCAACTTCAGTAGTAATCCATGTAGAGTATTTATTTTCTACAAGAAATGATTCTGGCCATGCCAACTCATTTTTCATACCTGCACATAGGTTCAGAATTTAATTTCTGAAACCTGGATGTTAGACTTTTTGCAATCAATTTCTTCTATTGCCCCACTCCACAGTTGTACTTTAGCTTCATATAAATGGAGCTGCCACATCTTATTGTTCGCTAATATGTCATTTAGAATTGTTCTTCTTTCTCTTTTCCCAATACTGCTCATAAGGCCTTAGTAGATTTAACACCATGCCATTCAGAAAAGTTTCTGTGCGCAATGCATTGCTATCTTGGTCATGTAACTACATGTTGATAGATTTCCTATGCAGTTTTAACAAGGAGTCTTCTCTCACCACTATCCTACATAAAGCACCCTATTAGAAAGGATTTTGTTTTTAAAGCGCCTGCATTATGTGGACAAATAATGGCAAATGCATGGTTGATCATGGAAGAGATGGAGTGGGAAGAATAAATCAGGAACATTTATTTTCTATTTGAGTAGAGGGATAAAGGGATTTTTGTTAGATCATGGCCCATGGAGGTTCAGATTTACTGACTGTAGGCCTGTGGACCAGCATAAAGGACATGCATATATGGACTAGATTGGAAGAACAAGGATAAACATGGCTAGCAAACTATTTATGTTAGCACAGAAATTCAAAAACCACAGCCTGTGATAATACAGATATGACAGACAGAGCAATCCAAAGATAGAGTAATCCAAATCAAATCTGATTATATTTAAATATGTATTTAAAATATTGGAAAGTTATGAGCTAGTCATCTTGGAAACCTCTTAAGACTGGATGGAACTCATCATAGTTTATTATTATGTTGTAACAGTCTGTTGGTTAATCTGATTGTTTACTGAAACAGGAAAGGCGTGTGAATTGAGCTGTATTGATACATTTCTAATTCTTTCAGCTTCCAGTGATCACAGATCTTAGAAATCCTTTTTTGAAACCCAGACACTGGGCAATTCTGGAACAAATAGTTGGTGCACCATTAATAGACATGGAAAATCCATTAACCCTGGAGCGACTTACTCAGATCAGTGCTTTTGAATATACTCAGGAGATTCAGGATGTTTCTGGACAAGCTTCAGGAGAAGCTTCTCTGGAGATTATTCTCAAAAAGGTACCTTTTAATACAATATAAAATACTCATCCTGGACTGAAATAAGTTGTATTGATTGGTTACACTGAAGCTTCAATAATATATTTATTGAACAATCTCTAATACAGCATAAGGTAGAGCACAACAATCTTCCAAGTAAATGTTGAATAGTTCACTGCTTGAATTACAGTAGTCGCATCGGTAGAAAAACTTCATGAATAAGAAAATCAGAAAAGTAATGATGCCAGCGTGGGTATCTGAGGTTTCATGATAAACTGTTACAAACTGGATTTTTCTAAAGAGTGATTTATCAAGCATTTTTCTTTCTTTCTTTCTTTGTTTTGCTTCTTACGGACAAAATTGAAAATGGTTTTTAGCTCTTATTCTGTCTCACTTCTCCCCCTCCTCCAATGTATACGGGGAGTCCTTGACTTATGTACTTAACTATCATTCGAAGTTACAATGGCGCTGAAAAAAAGACCTACAACCTGTCCTCATACTCACAACTGTTGCAGTGTCCCTGTTGTCACAGGATTAAATTGTGGGCACTTGGCAATTGGCATATATTTATGATGATTGCAATGTCCTGTGGTCACATTATCTCTTATTTACGACCCTTCCAGTCAATTTCTGACAAGCAAAGTCGACGGGGGAAGCCAGATTCACTTAACTCCCATGTGATTCACTTAACAATTGAGGTGATTCATTGAACAATCGTGCAAGCCGGTTGTAAAATCAGGTCAAACTCACTCAGGTCTACCCACTTTGCTGAGCAACCTGATGTTGTGGTCTCAATTGTGATCATGTCAAGAACTATGTTTATTTGTTCAGCAACTAACTTTATCTATGTATGATAATCCATTTTATCAAACAAACAAACAAACAAACCTGTTGGTGGTGGAAATGGCTACAGTTGCCTTTCTTTATCCCTTTTAGCAGGTTCACTGATAATCCCAGGCAGCTGTGTATAAACTGTGTAAACAAACCATAAATGGAGGCATTCATATGGTTAGCTGTGCAGGCTGTTCATTTGCTGATAAGCTTATGTGGGTATGAATGCTTCCAGTTGGTCAAAATTATATTCAGAATTGCATTAAATTTTTCTTCCAGGTGGAAGATGCCTGGAAAACAACAGAATTCATTGTAATTCCTCATCGTGATTCAAAAGATGTTTTCATCCTTGGTGGCACAGATGACATCCAGGTTAGAAATGATTTTTTGTCTAAATTAGCTTTTAAGGCAAACTGTCTCTATTCAGTCCATATTGAGAAATTTGGCAAAAGCTTGTAAAATATTCAATCTAGACAGCAGACTACTATGTTCTCTCACTGGACAGTTTCCTTACCGCTGTGCCATGCCACTTTCTACCTTTCAGTTCTAGGAAAGCAATCACCTATTGCAGCCCACATAGGTGCAGTGAAATCAATCAGCTTTAAAGTAAAAATTCCTTTTTGTTGGCCTGTTGGTCACTAATACCTTTACTATTCATATTTTATTGGTCAAGCATACCAAGCCTCAATGAGAAAATATATACGGTAATTCTCCTGGTATTTACAGTGCATCTTGTCCTGCTCACACATGCACACACCAAAAGGGTTTAAAATCTTTATTGAGGCTGTGAAAGCCCCCTAATATTACTCCCCAGGGCTCACTCGCACAAAATAAACGCAATTCCCAATGAGTCCAACCCCTGAGCAACATCAAGTCCGGAGGCAAAGAGCAAGTCTGTAAACCCACACAAAAGGTCCAGTCCAGATACAAGCCCACAGTCCAAGCACAGTACACAAAGCTAAAGCCCAAGTCCAAAATACAAGCTCCAAAGTCTAGTCATGAGGTTCAGCAAAAAAGGTACAGGTCCAGAATCAGGGAAACGGAAGTCACAAAGTTGGAACACTTTGGAAACGGATGGGTTGTCTCCAACATCGCTTTGCTCCATGTGCTGGGCTAAGTAGCTGCCAGCCAGTGCACCTCATTAGGAGCGGGGAGGCTGCCTCTTTGCGAGTAGGCTTGTCAACCTCCTTTTGGCCCTGTGCGCCCTGGATCCAGTGGAGAAGGAAATTTCTCCTCATACCTGCTAACTGATTGCAGCTGCACCCGTTCTCTGCCCCACACTTCTGGTTGGTCATCCGAGCCTCCTGGCTGCAGCTGTTTCTCTTCTTTCTCCTTTTCAGCCAGGCATTTGTCCGGCCGCTCTCCCAACAGTCCTTACGAGGTTCCTGGCCTCTCTTCCTCCTCTTGCCCATCCTCCTAGGTACGGAATTCCCTGCTTCTTCCTGACACTCTTCTGTATCCCACTCTGAAGTCCCCAGAGCCAGCTCTTCTTTGACATCCAAGCCAGCATTCGGGGAAGCCATTACACAATGAAATACTAACTGTCTGAAACTTATCAAGATGGTGGACAAGGATATACAGAAATCCATTTTAAAATCTATTTTTGTTCAAGTGGTGTGCAACCAATAATAGATACAGGTAGTTTTCAATTTATGACCTCCACTGAGCCCAGAATAACAGTCATAAATTGGAGTGGGGCAGCCCCACACAGGCCCAGGCCCACACACTATTTCAGGCCCGGGCCCACACTGCAGGTAAATATTGATAAATATAACCCATACAAGCAAAGGTTCTTTGGGGGTCCTCTATAATTCTTGAAAGTGGGAGGGGTCCTAAGACAAAAGCCTTTAAGAAACACTGAACTCTCATGTATCGCTGGAAGTTCAATTGACAGAACTGAGGATGTTGTTTTACTTTTTCTTTAAGGTCATTCTAGATGATAGTACTATTAATATAGCAACGATTGCCTCTTCACGGTACGTAGGCCCTCTCAAGCCACGAGTTGATGAATGGCAGAAACAGCTGTCTTTATTCAGTCAGACATTGGTGCGTACCACTTTTTAAAATAATTTCTTCTAACTTTTGAAGTTTGCCTTAAAAGAAAGACATCATCTTGGCAATGTTATTTAATACGTGCTTAGTTCATCTTAGGCACAGCTCACTTGGCAGCATTTTGGCTAATCACAAAAAAGCTAAATTGGGTCAAACCAATTAGTAATTTGAATGGGAGGTCTCCAGGAAAGTGAAAGGCTGTAGCCTCACTTATAACTAGAAGAAGGCAATGGCAAAGTGTTTCTAATTACTGCAAAAAAACCCAAAAAAATCTGGTTAAGTCACCAGGAATCAAGCTTAATTTGAGGGATATTTTATTGTACAAAAATATCCTTTAGAACAGTGGTGGCGAACCTATGGCATGCGTGCCAGAGGCGGCACTCGGAGCCCTCTCTGTGGGCACACATGCCGTTGCCCCAGCCTCGCCTCCCCCCATGACTCCCTCCTCACCAGCAGCCCTCCTGGAGGAGAGTCGCCCCCAGAGCAGTGCAGCCAAGGACATGGCAGCAAGGCAGCGTAAACAAGACTCTGTCCTCACGCCCCATCTCGCACAGTTGATGCTGCGGGGCGCGGGCAGAGGGCGTGGCCGTCATGGTGCTGCTGGGCTGCCTGGGCAATCTGTGGTGGGCCCTGGAGGCAGTGAGTGGCCCTGCAGGCAAGTGGGGTGGAGGACAGGGTGGGGGCAGGGCAGGGGCAGGCAGGGTGTGGGGCCAGTTTTTGGGCACTTGGTCTCACTGCTTTAGAATGTTAATATTTAAGAGTTCACATAGATCATGATTAAAATATTCAACTAGATTCAAAGAGACCCAGGTTCAGGTCGTCTCTTAGCTACAACATGACATTGGAGCAGTCACTATCTCTCAACCCACTCTCACAGGGCCTGTTGTTATGAGGAAAAATGGAGGAAGAAATGCTGAATTAGAAGGATCTAACAAATTAATGTATCAGTCAGGTGACACTGATTTTTCTTTATTAAAGGTTTGGAAAGATGTAAACAAAGCACTGGCACTATTTTCAGTGAATATTAAACAATTTAGTGATAAAAAGATTTTGAAAGGGTTTTTCTCCACTATTTCTGCCGGTGGCAGTTTTGCTTGAGAACCAGTATCCACACTAATACCTTTGTGGAGGGAAAGCACCCCAGTTATGGTATAAAGTGTATCCTGTGTAACTTTTGTTTCACACAAATGGAAAGGAGCGTTTCCAAAGATTATGAATAACATTTTCCTCATACCTTTATGCCTACTTTTCTCGTTTTCTAGGAGGAATGGCTGACATGTCAGAGGAATTGGCTCTATTTAGAAAGCATTTTCAGTGCTCCTGATATTCAAAGACAGTTGCCTGCAGAAGCCAAAATGTTCTTGCAAGTAGATAAGTCTTGGAAGGAAGTTATGAGAAAAATAAATCGACTGCCAAATGCCCTCCGTGCCGCTACTCAGCCTGGTAATAAAACAGTATGCCTTAGTTATGTGCTGCTTGTATTAAACCATGTATCACCTCCACTCAAAGGCCGCTACACATCTTGTTTCCTACATCTATTCATAACACCAGAAATCTGTCAAGTAACTTATGTACGACTCCTTACAGTATCCATTCATATTCTGACCTCATTTTGATCGAAAAGTGCTTATTCCTTTATAAATCCTTGCCCGTGCTTTTACCATTCTTTCTCTTTTCCTCTAGAATATTTTTTTGCAGGATTTCTGACTAATTCTTAATACTCCCAGCACTACATTCAGTAAATATACAATAAATAAAAGCATTCCATGTAGATTAGAATCACCCCACCTCAGTAGAATCCAAAAGTTGCCCATATTGCGTACTTTTGTATTGTTAAATTAATAATTGTTCTGCTTTTGCCTGATACATTTCAAAAGATTGCATCTCATAGGATAACACGGTATGAAATATAGCACATATGCTAAGATTCACCTTCAGACAGTAGCCTTTGCCTGTTTACATTTTACACTTTTATCCATTATCTTTCTCTGATGCAGGCCTTTTGGAGACCTTTCAGAATAATAATGCTCTTCTTGATCAGATTCAGAAATGTCTGGAGGCCTATTTGGAATCCAAGAGAGTCATTTTCCCAAGGTTAGTTAAGAATCAGCAAGAAGATAATTAAGTCATCTGTTGCTTTATCCTTTATTAGCGGGGAATACAATCCTGGCACAAAGTTTATGTATATTGAATCCTGCTGATTTAAATGAAGGAGTTAATTTGCTTCCATTGAAAGTAATTAGGACTTAATTGGTTCAGTTTAGGATGATCATTGCTGGGTTTTTTTTTATTTAAAATGATACACATTGCAAACAGTGAATTAAAGGCCATCTCGCGCCATTCTGTATGTTTAAATAAAAGCACGTACCATTGAAATATGTTACACTTTCCTAAGCTAAAATCAGGAATGCTGCCTAAAATGATCTACCCAGTTCTTTTTTTATTTTTATTCATTACATATGTTAAGGCCTCCCAACTTTGGAAAGGCTAATAAGTATAATTACAAAATGTATTTTATAAAACATTAAATAGGCTTAATTTGTATTTCAATTTACATTTTACAACTTTTCATGTTACCTCAGATTCTACTTTTTATCGAATGATGAGCTCTTGGAAATATTGGCCCAAACCCGCAATCCTCAAGCAGTTCAGCCTCATTTAAGGAAATGTTTTGATTCTATTTCTAAACTGGAGTTTGCCTACATGGCACCAGCTGAAGGAGAAGAAAAAGTTCTCACTAATGATATTCTAGCAATGCTGTCCCCCGAAGGTGAAAGGGTAAGCATTTTTTTAAAAAATGTATGAAAATACCTATAAAAATGTCTATGCCTATGATAAGCATAAATAAGATAATTCACCAGAAGGTATATAGCAAGAGCCCTGTAAAGGGTGGATGAATGGATGGCTATATTTCCCCTTATGTGTATAAAACCACTGTATCGTATTAGATACCATTTAATATCTGATGTTTTAGTTTTTCACACAGGCAAGAATTGTAACTATTCATATACCAGTGAAAGTAAATGAAACTGATTCTTCATAATTCCATCTTTTTAACATAGACTATTTTTCTGGTAGAACTTCATGCTGGTTTCACTTTTTTGGTACTATGTTAGAGCAAACAGAACATCAGGCGTCTGAATATTGTTGAGTCAGTTATTTTAAAAAGTCATAACTGAGATGGAGACTATTTAAAAAAGAAACTAGAACTTTTGTACAAACAACTTTTGAAGCATTTTTTCCATTTTTGTGCTGCACAAATATGACTTACATCATTAGTAATTTTGTAGTAAACCATATTTACTGGAGTTTGCCTACCTGGTACCAGCTGAGGGAGAAAAGTGATATGACTTGTGCGGGGGGAAAACGTAACAGTTACCCTCTCAGTGAATGGAAAGTTTGCCTTTTTAGGTTGGCCTGGGAAAAGGACTTAAGGCCAGAGGAAATGTTGAAGACTGGCTTGGTAAAGTTGAAGAAGCAATGTTTACTTCCCTTAGACGATTGAGCAAAGCTGCCATTGCAGATTATCAAACCAGAGAAAGAACAGAGTGGGTTATCGCTGGACATCCTTCTCAGGTAAACCACACTCTTTAATGACTTGAATTTCACAAGCATCTTATTGCTTTATCTTAGGATTTCAGTATACTGCTCCTTGAGAATAGTTGAGTTCTTGGGATCAAGCATATTCCCAATTTTATGATAGAAATCTATCAAATAAATATTCTGTGTTCATAAGTTGGCTGTTAATAGGTATACAGTAGCTGCTTATGTTGAACCAAGTTCAGAAGCAATCAGATTGGTGGTAAAGATCAGAGGGATAATAAGCCTAATGTATTGAGATTGTTGAAGAATGGCTCTGAAAGTTCAGTTTTGTGTGGTAGAAACACTCAGTAATGTTTAAATGATAAAATCAGAACAATGAAACTAGATATCATCTCCAGCACAATATATGTCTGTCTGAATTCTGTTTTGTTTTCTTTATATAGGTTGTGCTGACCATTTCTCAGCTCATGTGGTGTCGTGATCTCACTCAGTGTTTAGAAGGAGAAGAACATGATCATTTGGTAGCTCTGGAAGAGTTTGAAAATGAGAATTTTGATGTGAGTATTCAGTTTCTTTTATTTTTTAACATACTGGTGTTATTTTATACTTTTATAAATGTAAATGTAGAAATATTTTAAAATCAAAAGAATTGTTTTGGATGGTGCCTTTTTATATAAAGCATAAATCATTCTAATCTGAAATGCCTACTAAAAAGACATTTTACACATTTAAGCAGTTCTTAAATAGATAACCATGTATAACAGGGGTGTCAAACTCATAGCATCACATGACGTGTTGCAACGTATCGTGACTTTTTTGCCATTGCCAGCAATGGGGTGGGCGTGGTTTCACTATGATGCATCCGGCCCGCGGGCTGGCAGTTTGACACCCCTGATGTATAATATCAAATATGGCAATGATCTTCATTGCTGATGAAACTGTTCAAGAAAGTTCCTATGATCTCTTTGGATTCAGTATCATTTTTTTTCAATTTAACCTATCCCTGTCCTTTCAGTATAAGGCATTATGTTAAGTAAAGATTTTGTTTTGTTTCATTTCACAGAGACTAAACTCATTGGCTTCACTAGTCCGCGGCAACCTTCCCAAAATTCACAGAAATATCATAACCGCACTCATTACTATTGACGTACATGCAAGAGACATTGTTACAGAACTTGTACAACAACAGGTACATTGATTTTGTTTAAATAATATTTGTAGATTTACCATTTAAAAAATAATAATAATAAACATTTTCTATTTGGCAAGGTGGATTCTGTGGACAATTTTGACTGGCAAAGACAACTGCGCTACTATTGGGACCTCGATTTAGATAACTGCGTGGCAAGGATGGCTTTATCTCAATATACCTATGCCTATGAATACTTGGGTGCATGTCCAAGATTAGTGATAACGCCACTCACGGTAATGTGTTGCCGTTATTTTCTTGCCTGCAAGAGAAATGATCTCTTGCAGATGTGTAAATTATTTCAGTGGAAAGAGACTATGGGAAGAGAGGTTTGGGAAATGAAAAAAAGCAGAGAAAATAGGAAATACAGCAGAGCAATGACAAGTTAACAGCGGGAGGCTAAAAGTGGTAGAGTGAAGGTTGATGACATTTAGAGATAGTGATGATCACCATGGAGCTTTGGGGCTAAACTTTCTCTTCTCACAAGGTAGATGATGCAGTTGAAAGTACCTTTGTAATAGAACTTCTTACCCCCTATCCCCACCAAAAATACCCACCCGGAAAGAAAAAGCAAATAGAGACATTGATGAAGGAACAGAAAAAAATAAATACAATACGGGTCCCATAAGATTGATTGTGGTAGCCCCATGAGACTAGTTTAAGGGTAAGGTGAAAAATAAAATTAATTGTCATGCCCTGATTTCAATTCTAGTTAAAAAGCCTCTAGCCTACATAGCCTCAGGATTACATTTAGAAGTCAAGAAGAAGCTTATTAAGAAACCAATTGCTTTTTCTTTGTCTCAAGAGTCCAAAATTAAGTCAGAGATCCATTGACATTCCATATAATTATTGTACGATTTGATGTTGCAGCCTAATTGTGCAGCTGTAGTTATGTCATGTTCAGATTTCCTTACAATATCGTGCATATGCAGTTGAATATACGTTAACTCTCATTAGGATCGTTGCTATCTTTGCCTGATGGGAGCCCTGCAACTTGACCTCGGGGGTGCCCCAGCTGGACCTGCTGGTACTGGAAAAACAGAGACTACAAAAGATCTTGCAAAAGCACTTGCCATCCAATGTGTGGTGTTCAACTGTTCAGATGGCTTGGATTACAAGGTGTGGCATTCAAGCAGGCTAACAAAATGGGAGAGTTGTTTTTTTTGTAGTAAAGCATAGTAATAGTTTCTCTAAAATAATAATATCAAAGATGAGCCAGTCATTTTCATCCAGTGCTTAACTGATTGATCTTTGGACACCTTAGCTAGAATAGAATGAGAGAATTGAATAAAAGAGCAAGTTTGAAACTACGTAAAAGAAAAAAAAACAATAATTTTATGGACAATTAAACATTAATGGCCCTTGGTAAGATAGGATGGTAAAGAAAGTATTTCTCAAGCTAATGATTCTTCTAACAGAATTAATTACAGCAAATTGGGTTATTCTATCCGTCTGTCTGTTCAGTCCCTTTCATAATGGTCATAGCAAGGTCAGTAGCTTTGTTTAGATGTGATGCCTAATCTTGGTTTATTAAATCTGCTCCTTAAATATTCAAATACATAATTGTTTGATTTACATACATGTTTTCTGCATTGTTCAGAACCTGTAAGTGTTACTAATTCTTTTATCATTGGAAGGATGAAGAATAAATGCAAATTAGAGAGAGTCCTTAGGGGGCATCAGTCACTCTTGGAATTGTTTTGTTGTTTTGCTTTTTTTTTCTTAGCACTGGTTAGCAATCAGTACAAAAGTTTAACCTAGTCCCCAAAGGGGTAAACAAATTTTAGCATAAAGTGAGTGAAAAATGACAGCAACGTCTATTAGGTCACTCAGTAATTGCATCTATTGAACTGTTGGTATAGATTCTAAGAGTAACTATGCTTTTAACATCTACATATAAATATTTATGAATGAAATCATCCACAGTCAGATATAAACAGCCTGGCATGGTTGCTGTAGAGTGCTGTAAAGGAGTGCTGAAGCATGGTGGGGAACGAAGTTTGTTGCATTAAAAAAAGATGGAAAGAACCATGAAAGCATCCACACCTGCCTCTTAGTTCTTTGGACTAAGTTTCAGTTTTGAGTCTCACCTTCATATTTCTCTTTGAAGATGGGATAAAGCAATGTAACCATATCCATTAAATCAGAATACCAAGTTTAGATGTAATGTCTAATAGCAGCACACAAAATTGTTCATAAATCAGCTTCAAACTATGGTTTGCATTTTAAATAAACCTAATTTCCTACTGGGGAGGAAAGCTATGGCAAATCTAGACAGCATACTAAAAAGCAGAGATATCACCCTGCCAATAAAAGTACGTATAGTCAAGGCCATGGTTTTCCCAGTTGCAATGTATGGTCGTGAAAGTTGGACCATAAGAAAGGCTGAGCGCCAAAGAATTGAAGCCTTTGAACTATGGTACTGGAGAAGACTCCAGCAAGTCCCCTGGACTGCAAGGCGATCAAACTGGTCAGTCCTAAAGGAGATCAGCCCTGACTGCTCTTTAGAAGGCCAGATCCTAAAGATGAAACTCAAATACTTTGGCCACCTAATGAGAAGGAAGGACTCACTGGAGAAGAGCCTAATGCTGGGAAAGATTGAGGGCAATAGAAGAAGGGGATGACACAGAATGAGGTGGCTGGATGGAGTCACCGAAGCAGTAGGCATGAGCTTAAATAGACTCCAGAAGATGGTAGAGGACAGGAAGGCCTGGAGGAACATTGTCCATGGGGTTGCAATGGGTCGGACATGACTTTGCAACTAACAACAACAATTTACTTTGGGTTAATGAGCCAGTTGGTATCAAACATTCAAACAAGTCAGAGTAAAGTTGAAATAGGCTTCTGTTATTTTGATGAAGTGATGCAGAGATTTAACACAGACCTCATGAAACTTGGATGTACGCTTCCCTCTCATTACGCACTGTAGGAGTTGATACTTGAAACTACAACTGATCCGAGGATAAACATTTAAGACAACATAACAGTGTATGCCTATTGTTTCAGATGATGGGGCGCTTCTTCAGTGGTTTGGCACAGTCTGGAGCCTGGTGCTGCTTTGATGAATTCAATCGAATTGATATTGAAGTTCTGTCTGTTATTGCCCAACAACTGATTACAATAAGGAATGCTAAAGCAGCAAAGGTAGCAGATGCTATGTTTCATGTTTTTTTTTTTAAAAAATGTAATAGGTAGATGTATTAATTAGCATCTTTTGGTTCTCTGTATCAAGAGGAGTGAAACAGGGAAGCATTTCTACCCCACTCCTCTTCAATTTTTATATACATTCATTAATAGGACATGATTTTCATTCTTCAAAGGATGCTGACGAATGATTAGTAGTCCTGCCCTATGCAGACATTGTTATTATTTGATCCAGGACATAAAGTTGTTTGAGGAGGGCATTGCCATTTTCAGTGGAGCACTAATAAGATAAACATCAAACATTCCAGCTTTTGCAAAAAACCCTAAAAAGTCATTGCTGATTTGTAAACAAGGGAGAAGAAGCATGGTGGCTCAGCAGCTTAAAGACTCTGGATTTGCTGGCCGGAAAAGGTCAGCTCTCTGTATTCCAGCAGCTCAAGCCCTTGCACCAAGTGAGGGAGTGAGTTCCCATCACTCACCTCAGCTTCTGCCAACTTAGCAGTTCGAAAGCATGCGAAACTGCAAATAGATAAATAGGTACCACCCTAGTGGAAAGCTAATAGCGCTGGACCTGTCTGAATACGAGACGAAATCGGTAGAGAAAAACCCCGGATGATGCTGATACTCCCATAGAACAGGGCTTTTCAACCAGTGGTATGGGTACCACCTGTGGTACATTGGCACCTGGCAGGTGGTACGCGACCATCCTAGAAAAGTAGCGGGGGAGGGGAATGAGCTGAACCGGTGACAGCACCGCACAAGCCTTAGCTGGAGCTGCATGGCTGGAGCTGCATGGCTGTCAGGGCTCAGCGGAAGCGCCAGGATCAGCGCGGCTTTCCAGCTGATCGGCGCTTCGGGGCTGTCAGGGCTCAGTGGAAGCGCCAGGATCAGCGCCAGGCTCCAGCTGGAGCTCGGTGCTGATCCTGGTGCTTCTGCTGAGCCCTGAAGAAGCACCAATCAGCTGGAATGTTGCAGCATCTCCTGCTGCCAATCCTCCACAGAAATGCTCACAACAATGAAAACCTCAGACAGGAGGAAGAGCGCCACAGGGCGGGCAGGCAGGTGTCTTGCTCGGCTGTGGCTTGGGGGGCACTTTTTCAGTGCCATTGTAACTTCGAACAGTCACTAAGCGAACTGTTGTAAGTCAAGAACTACCTGTACTTCATCACTTTTTTCCTTTTTTTTTTTTTGGTCAAGTTTTTGACACCTTGCTAGGCGACTGGTGGTACTCGGATGTTGCCATATCCTAAAAGTGGCACAATGGGTGACAAGGTTGAAAGCCCTGCCATAGAACATTGTTAGCCACTCTATGTGTGGAGCTAGTTTGTCTCCTGCAGTGTTTCCTGGATAGTGCACAAGCATGGAAAAAAATGAACTAGTATTCTTAGGTAGCCAAACTAATCTGTAATAACATTGTAGACTTTCTGGCTTTCAGTGTACCAGTGCCATATGCTAAGCAAATAATAACGAGATATTGAGCAAGACCAAGGATTCAGTTACTTGACATTGTTTTTTTCATTATTCTGATGTCCCACAAGAACACAACATGTAATATCTCAAAATACTTAGGAGAGATCTGCTGCTATATTGAGTTTTTATCAAACTAGAGGTACCGAGAATACATTTGTGCTTTCAGGGTTTTTTGAAGCAAATACTCTTGTCACTTATTTTACAGAATCCAGTCTATTTTCTATTTCTAGATGAGATCTAATCCACATTTTGAAAATCTACTCTCCAAGCCCCAAATGCACTGTTAAGACTTGAGACTGTTCTGTTGAAAATCAAGGCAAAAATGTGGGCTACCATGTTTAATTTTTAGTTAGAATTAAACCTAGTGCCTTTTAGGTTTGGCCTTTCATATTGAATGATGCCCACCATTCTGTATGGTGCTATCACTGTAGCTGAACTCAATTCATGTAGCTTTTCACCACAATTTCTCTTGGCTTTCGGGCTTAGGCATGCCAAGCCAAGTGTTAAAACGAGTTAATGAGATAGAACATCAAAGAAATGTGTCTTTCGTTCCAAGTTATTACTTGCTTAAACCAACTAAATATCTTTATAACTCAACACTTCCTATACGTAACAGATGCAGTGAGTTACACTCTGTGATGATTTATAGAAAATATAGGGGATATTAGCTGTTCTTATCTGAATTGAGTGACTTTGAAACATTAATTCCTTTGTTTTTATTTTTCAGCACAGGCATTGGAATATGTATATAATGGAAATAAATAATGCTGAGCCATTAAACTTTGGGTTCAGCAATTTTGAGATACATTGTTTTGTTTTTATAATAAGCTTATATTATGGTTTTATGTTTTATATAAATTAATATCATATGTTTTATGTATAATTATGCTGTATTCATGAAGGTTCTGATCTATGACTAAAATAAAGAAAAATATAATTTGGATGTAAATATAAATGTAATGGCTTTCTTTTTTCCCCCCTTTCTTTTACCAAAGGTCACTCGGTTTATGTTTGAAGGACGCGAAATCAAATTAATTATGACTTGTGCGGCTTTCATTACTATGAATCCTGGCTATGCTGGACGAACAGAATTACCTGACAATCTAAAAGCACTCTTCAGGCCATTTTCTATGATGGTTCCAAACTATGCTTTGATTGCAGAGGTACTTTTTCAATACCTATTGTTAGGGCCAGTGGCAGCAATTAACAACAATAGAGCAGGTCCATCATTCGATTGCTTACGTATTTTCTACAGCCCAGCCAACCTATCTAAACCAGATCAATGTGTTTTCCACACCTCCCGCTTAGAAGCAGTTAAAAACGTGATTTCCAATCCACGAAGGTTCTGAAAAGGGGTCCTTTAGGCAGTGAGTATTTTTTGGCTAAATGGTACTAGACAGCGGGTCCAAGGTCAAACAATTCCCATCTGAATCCCTCGCTTTGGATTCAACCTAATAGTTTTAATAATTAATTAAAACTATTATTACTATTAAAACCATTTAAAAGGTTTGATTAATTAAAGGTATTTCGCATATACTTTGTTAATCAGGCTAATATTAGCCTTTTGGTTAAAATCAAGTGTAGTATCTGTTCTTAACAATTTAATTACTTAATAGATTTACTAATTGTACTGAACAAGACGACCAGAGCACAAGTAGGGGATTTGAAGTTTAGATTTTAATTATAAATTTAATAATTTATTTTACCTTTTTTCTACTCACTGACTTTGAGTTGCCCAAAGAATGGATACTGGGAAGTGCGGGCGAGCATTGTTGTGAACCAACACCACACCGGAAGTCAGCGTGCCCTGACACTTGTTATGGATGGCTAGTCTGAGTTTTCGTAACGTTTCACAGTAGACTTCTGAATTGATGGTTGAACCATGCTCCATGAACTTCACTAGCAGTACTCCTTTGGCATCTTCACATTTGGCGAGATTTTCTATGGCACCACTTCCGGTGTAGTGTTGGTTCATGATAATGCTCGCCCGCACACTGCTAGATGCACCCAAGAACTTTTGAAGCAGTTCCGTTGGGATGTTTTTGATCACCCCCCCATAGCCCAGATTTGGCGCCAAGCAACTACTACTAAGGAATTTCAAACCTTGTAAGACGTTATGAGAAGTGCCTCAATTTGAATGGCGATTATGTCAAAAAGTAATGTAACGTAGTTTTCTAATGTATATAATAAAAGTTCTATATCTGCAAGTGTTTGTCATTGATAACCAAACAGATTTACTTCTGAATTGCCCTTGTATTACAGAATTGGGTAGTCCTGCTTGAAATACTTTGAAATCTCCTCCCAGAGGGGAGCAACAGAAACAGACCGCAAAGTGGATGTGTGGAGTCTCTAACAATGCTTTGAGCTCTAATCACCTAGCGCTTATAAGCAGCATCCTGAATACCAGGAAGCGAGCTTCCTATGATCTTCTCGGCTGTCCTTACCCAATCTCTGTATGGACTTTCTATCTGAGGCACTGCTGCCACCAAACCAGACAGTGATGCAGTGTGTTAAAATGCTCTCAATTGTGCCTCTGTAAAAAAAAGTGGCCAGGACAGAAGGAGAAAGATGTGCTCTCTTCATCCGACGCAGGAAATGTAGACGTTGGTTTGCACACTTCACTAAGGATGACGTATGGAGAGACCAGATTGTTAGTTATCTGCACCCCCAGATACTTAATACCGTTGACCACCTCTATGTCTGCATCCTTGATACTGAGTGGAGTATGACTATGCCGGCTCTTTCTAAAATCTACAGTGATCTCCTTTGTTTTATTAACCAGGTTACTTTTATTGCACCAGTCCACCAGAACCTTCACCGCTTCCCTCTAAGCATCTTCATTGTCGTCCCCGTCTAAGACCCACCACTGCCGTGTCGTCTGCATACTTCACAATATGATTTGTAGCAGATTTGGCACAGCAGTTGTGGGTCATCAAGGTGAACAGTAGCGGACTTAGGACACAGCCCTGTGGGGAATCCGTACTCAAGGAGATGGAGTTGGAAACTTTCTTTCCAACTCGCACAACCCGGGGCCTATCAATAAGGAAATCAAGTTATCCTGCCTTTTTAGTTTCTTTTATTAACAGCTCAAGACAGTGAACATACCTAACATTCCTTCCTCCTTCTCTTTTCTCCACAACAATAACCTTGTAAGGTGAGTTGGGCTTAGAGAGAGTGACTGGCTCAAAGTCACCCAGCTGACTTTCAGGCCCAGGGCAGGATTACAACTCACACCCTCCTGGTTTTTAGGCCAGCATCTTAACCAGCAGACCAAAGTGGTTCTTTAGTTATCTAGTTATGCTTGAGATTTTTGATTTTTGTAAGAATGTGTTTTATATTTCAGGTTATTCTGTATTCTGAGGGATTTGAATCAAGTAAAATACTTGCAAGGAAGATGACCCAGATGTATAAACTCTGTAGTGAACAGCTTTCCCAACAAGACCATTATGATTTTGGAATGAGAGCTGTCAAATCTGTGTTGGTCATGGCAGGGTAAAATATTTTTGTTTGTTTGTTTCCCACCTTTATTATTTTTACAAATAACTCAAAGCAGCAAACATACCTTCCTCCTATTTTTCCCACAACAATCCTTTGAGATGAGTTGGGTTGACAGAAAGGGTGACTGATCTAAAGTCACCCAAATGGCTTTCATGGTTAAGGTGGGATTGAACTCATGGTCTCCACTTTCTAGCCTGATGCCTTAACCAGTAGACCAAACTGGCTTTCATGTTCTGTGAAGTACAATTTTATATAGAGGCTGATACATTCACGTATTGTTAAGAAAAAGCTTTATACAGTGGACTTATAGAAAATAAAATTATTTCTGGTTATGTGTAACTTCTGGGCAATAAAGCTTTTGATGAATGCCACTAAAGTGTATATTTTTATATTGACATGATTAATGACAGGTATGTACAACTTGCTATATAATAAGCAGAATAATCCATTGTTTGTGGGGTTTTATGAGGGTTTAATTCATCTATTTTAACAATCTGTATATGATTGTGAAACAAAATGTATAAAGCACCTAACAACTAGAAAGAACATTGGTATATAATAAAACCTGTTTTACTGATCCAGTCACAATATTTAACTGATAACTATAAATTAAGAATTTTGTAGTTATTAGAGAAGACCTTTATAAACTTCCAATTTCCATATATGTCTAAAGTAACTGACATACTAATGTTAATATAAACTTAAAATACTGTTTTCTGTAAATTTAGATCACTAAAGAGAGAGCATCCAAACCTGAATGAAGATGTTGTTTTAATAAGAGCATTACGAGATTCGAATCTCCCAAAATTTCTTGCAGATGATGCTCTTTTGTTCAGGTACTTTTAAAATTAATTATTACTTTTTTATTTCATTATAAGATCCACAATGAAATAAAAATGAAAACAGATGGTTTCCTTAAACTCTTAAGCACTTGAAACCAGACCCAGAAACGGATTGTGAATCAATAAGTATGCTAAAGATTTGATTCCATTCTTCAGTCTGAATTAACAATCTGAAGGTCTATTCTGTATGATTGCAATTGGTTAGTCTATTGTTGTTTCCAAGGCAATCCCATAATGACTGACTGTAATAATCCAGCCAAGAGGTTGAAGCTGGATAACCATAATAAGACTGCCTTTGTTTCTGTTGATTCCAAACAAATATGTCCACTAAGCAGATAAAGATTTGCTTAGCTACAGAATCCTGTTATACTCTGCAGTATAAGTCACGCATGGTGAGATGGGCGGCAAACAAATTTAATACATACATACATACATACATACATACATACATACATACATACATACATACATACATACATACATACATACTTCTGAGGACAATATTGGATGAGTGAGTTCCTGTAAACTGAAAATCCAGATTTCATTATGAATATTTTTCATTTCTAGCTATCTTCTCTGATATTGTTTCCCTGACTGCTTCAATTTAATACACGGAAGTGGCAAGGACAAGGCAATTTTGAACTTAAAAGTTTTGAATCTGGGCGTTTTATTTTACCTAGTGAATATTTACAACTACCTTGTTATGCCCATTTTTGTACTCTGGCCATAGTTGAGGAATAGAGAACCACCATTCCCAGTTTGGTTTTTACCCAACCATGTCTGTCAGCATTTCAGTTGAGAGATGGGGTAAAAGAAAATGAGAATTAGAGGAATTAACAACAGAATGCAAATCCTCCCCTTATTTATTGAAATGTAAAATGTTCTCTTTGATAGCTTACATTTTGCATGGGTGGTGATGGGGTACCAGTAAAGTAAATAAACGAGCCAATCTCTTGTGCTTCATTTCTTTTAGTGGAATTATATCTGACCTTTTTCCTGGAGTCATAATCCCAGAACATAATTATGGAGTGCTGCAGTCGACAATAGTAGATACCATTCTTTCCAAAGGATTGCAGACCGAAGATACCATGATTCGTAAAGTGATACAGCTGTACGAAACTATGCTGGTAAGGCATGGGGTCATGCTTGTTGGACCAACAGGAGGTGGAAAAACTACAGTGTATCAAATTTTAGCAGATACACTTGGAACTTTATATAAAGCAGGTGAGGAATATCACTTTTTCCAGCCAGTTAAAACATATGTTCTGAATCCTAAATCAATAACTATGGGTGAGCTATATGGTGAAGTTAACAATTTAACCCTGGAATGGAAAGATGGCTTAATGGCACTTAGTGTGCGAGCTGCTGTAGTGGACACCTCTGAAGATCATAAATGGATCATCAGTGATGGACCTGTGGATGCACTATGGATCGAAAATCTGAACACAGTTCTAGATGACAACAAGATGCTTTGTTTGGCTAACAGTGAAAGAATCAAACTGACACCATCCATCCATATGATGTTTGAGGTAATTTACATTCTTAGTTTTAATGGATTTTCTTAATGCTATATTCAGAGTATCACTGGATTTCACTGGGTTTGTTTCAGTTGTTTTTCTCAAGAACAGCATCATTGTTCAAATCTTCAAAACTAATTTGATTTGGATAAATGTGGAAGCCTCTATTAACTATGTCTTATTCAAAATAGAAAAATGAGCTCTAACTTTATCTCTTACATTTTAGCACTGGGGGAACTGCTGTTTTCAAAGTTTTTGTTTCTTGTATTTCTTCTATATGAGGCAGTAAATGTTGTGTAGCCTAAAACCTTGCTTGCATTGTTATGCAATTGAACAACAATTTTACATCTGCCCTATATTTAAAGATGTTTTTTAAATTACTGTATGTATGACTTCATAATATGATTGTCTTATGTGTTGCCTCTGTTGCTGGAAGAAGCAAACCAGTGTGTGCTGTTGACTCAAGCTGATAGGGCAGAAGGAAATATCAATAACTTCATCTTCCAGGATGGGAAATAATTTCTTTCCATTCTAAACAATGGAAAGTTTTTATTTTGGTTTTTTAAAATAAAAATTACAAGGCTGGAATAAATATTCCCTTAATGTTATTGCTGTATTTGAGAAATACTGTACCCTGGATCTCTTCCTGGTTTTTTTTTTTTTTTTACTCTTGTATGATTAGAGTTCTGAGGTAGGATATGAAAGTTTTGGAAGTCCTTCTTCAGAGACCCAGGGTGAAATCCTGAAGCTTTCCTCTTTGCTGTGAAATCCAACAATGCTTATATCTGTCTGGGATTACAATCTCAGTTAACCAAGAAATAGAGATGTTATTTCTGAACCAAAGACCCATCTTTAGCTGCATTGCTTTCTTTGCTAAGAATATGCTGAACTAGAAACAGGTGCACTGTCTGTGAATTTTAGGTAGAAGACTTGAGAGTTGCTTCTCCTGCCACAGTAAGCCGATGTGGAATGGTATACATTGACCCAGATGAATTGAAGTGGATGCCCTATGTCAAAACATGGATGGCAGGCCTTGAAGAAAAAGTATGTTTTATCTAGTACACAATAATAACTAAGCATTTTGCACATTTTTGTTAAGATTGAATATTCTCTGAGGCCACCTTTATTATAGGCCCCACATTTATGTAATATACTGGTCCCAGAAGAACCCTTGGCCTTTTTTCTTCTGGCATTCAAGCAGATATTGAATGTTTTTCTTTTTTTCAAACATGCCTTTGGTGTTACGCTACATTGGGCAATCAACATGTTATATTTGATGGCCGTGCTATTTATTTTTAATTTATCTATATTGTTGTAAGGTGTCCAGAACTTGGGATGGGCAGCATAAGGAAGGGAGGGAGGGAGGGGATTCTTAATTCCCATAATCTGCTTTTTCATTGTTGAAATGGCTTTGTAAAATGGCTATAAATGTTGGTATCTTCCCTCTGGGCATACCTTCTTTTGTTTCTCATTTGTCCTATTTTGACTCTAGACCTATTAGCACAGGAGACTTTAGAGTGCGATACTATATACACTAATATATGCTTTCTTCTTATGAAATGTACATTTTTTCTGAGTTGGTGAGGAAACAATAATTATACGACAATATTGATTTTTGTTTAGCTCAACGAAGAAACAAGAACATATTTGTTTGAACTCTTTTCGCGTTATGTTGAAGACGGTCTAAAATATGTTCACAAAAAGTGTTCCCAAGCCGTATCACAAGTGGACATCAGTAAAGTTGTTGCTCTTTGCTGTTTACTGGAGTCATTACTTCTTGGAAAGGCAGGACCCAGTATGAACTTGGTACGTCTGTTTGCTTTGCCCTTTGTATAGTTCCTCTTTCTTTTTCCTACATGTTGGGATCTGATAGGTCTAAAAGAAGTAGAGGAATTTTTTAATATAATCCAGTCTTATTCTATTCTGCACATAGTCCAGCACTTGTATCCATTCATCCAGCAACTGCTCAAAGTTACGGGAGTACTGAAAAAAATGGACTTCTGATTAATCCTCATTTGTAAGTTCCCTCCATTGCAGCGCCCCCATGGGCACATGATCACAATCTGGGCATTCAGAGGCCCTGATTGCAAGTACAGTGTAGCAGTTGGCCACAGCTGCTGACAAGTAAAATCAGTTGGGACAACAAAGTCAGCGGGGAAGCCAGCAAGGAAAGTTGCAAGTTCCTCATAGAAATTGCTCCTGCCTCCTTTTTTCCCGTGTGGAAGAAACAGTGGAGGATCTCATACTCCATTGCCTCCCCCATCTGCCTGCACTCTTTAGCAGCAGCCCCCAACCTTTTGGGCACCAGGGATCGGTTCTGTGGAGAGAGGTTTTTCCACAGACTGGAGGGGACGTGGTTTTGCGCGCTACCTGTATCCCGCAAATGGGGCTTGTTTGCGTGGCCTGGTTTCTGGCATGCCACAGCCCGGTGCCAGTCCACGGACCAAGATTGGGGACCCCTGCTCTATAGCATGTGCCTACCTGTAGTCTGCAGAACATACTCATCCGCACCACCCTCACCAAAAACCTCTGCCGACCCTCCCAATGCCTCCAACGGCTCTCCCAAGGCCTCTGCTGACCCTTGTGACTTCCAGTAACCCACCAAAAGCCTTTGTTCACCTGCCTGACTTCCACGGTATCTGTCTGTGAGAGTTCCCCCCCCTTCCCACGACACCACTGCACTCCTTGCTTGAGACTGCTGTGTTTTCCCCACGTATGACAAACGTGGTCCAGTGGTTATGAGGGCAACCGGGACTTTGGGGATTACTGTCAGTAGATGATCTGGCCACATTATGCTGCACTTTACAGCATAAGGTAGGGGGAAAACATACACTGAAAGTATCTAGCACTGTTTATCAAACCTGCTAGAATCTAATTGTGGTACATTTTCTAAGACTAGGTGCGGAACAAACTTCATAAGCCTCTCTCTCCAGCTAGAATGCCACTGCTTAAAAGACATTTCCTTTCAGACTTCTCTAAATGATTTCTGAGAGCAGCAGTACATGGAAAAATAGCTTCACTTATTGGTTTCAAAGAAATACAGAGTATCACAGCCATCCGTTTAATATACGTCTAGCAATATTTCCATGCTGGTTTGCTCTATATAAGCCAAGCAGAGGAAGAATAGTTTTTTTCCTAAATCATCTCAGAGTTATAATAGCAGTATTTTCTATATAGCAGTGGTGTTTTTGCCTGAAGCACTATGTAGAGAAAACCTATTGTAGTAGTGATATTAACTTGTTGCTTAGAGCTATAGCTAGTTAGCTATAGAAATACGTTCTGAATGTAACAATTTGAAGGCATGTATATGTAAATGTACATGTATATATCCTTCACCTTCATGAAAATGCATTCACTTGTACTTGTAGTGGAATGACTTTGGCTCATGATAATAATAGGTAATGTACTATGAAACACAAAATGCAGAGATATATATGACCCATTCAGTATGTTCGATTTTGATACTGGTTAAGTGAGAACTGCAGGGGACATTAAGCAAGAATCTCACGTGACCACGACATCCGATTTCCTGCCCCATTGACTTTGCTTATGGGAAGTTGGCAGAGAACATTGGAAATTGTGATCACGTAGTTATAGCCCATTGCAATTTCATAATTGCAATCTGGATCCCAAGTACCCAGATTATGATCAAATGACCCCAGCAACAGCCAAAACTCCAAAGATCAGTTACAATTACCATTCGTTCAGCATGTTCGTAAGTTTGAACAGTCAATGAGTGAATGGTAATTAAATGAAGACCACCCCTATCCCAAGCAGGAGATTCCAAATATGCGTTGACATTTTTGTTCTAGGAGAAACTTACTGGAAACCTATGAATATATAGATTAATCCTGTTGAATGTTCAGAACTCATTTTTCCTTAACAGTTCATCTCATTTTAATTGAATGTTCATGTCAACTGTTCAGATATGTTTGTTCTGAGACATGCACCATGGTTTATGATTAAGTGTGAGCTTGTAACTATTGGTTCCACCCTTTTTGACACCACACCCAAATGCCTTCTGTGGATTTTTTTGAGTTTAATGAGCACTCTTTTCAAGATTCACTACAGTGTTTTATAACACTACAGTGTTATAGAAACAAATCTAAAATTAGGTTGTTTAAGTGTATTTCTTCTGTTATCAATGAATGGAAATGAAAGCAGTCAACACTTCTTTAGCTCAGGTCAATAGTTCCTATTTCTATTCTATATGTCAACCACAAGCTGGTAATATTATGATTAAGTTGGATTGGCTTGGGGAAGAGGGGGTTAATGAGTGAAATTTATTACACTAGCTTAAAGCATCCATGTTATTTCATAACTACCCTAAAATGAGAAAAATCAGGCCAATATTTAGGTATACAAGTAGTCTTTGGTTAACGACTGTCCTGTTTGTTGATCATTTGAACTTATGACAGGCATCCCCATGGTCACATGATTACCCCTTGCGATCTTCACAGCTGGCTTCTGACATGATAAGCCAATGGGAAAACCAGCAGGAAGTCGCAAACTTCTGTCATATGACTTTGTGCTTATCTATTTAGGGTGATTCTTTTAGCAGCTGAACTGATATTGTCAGTCAGGCATTGTCACATTATATTTCACTTAACTATATTGCTGGTCCCAGTTGAGGTAGTAAAACGAAGACTACCTGCATTTTGAATTATTATTTATGGAGTTTAGCACCAGTTTTGCCCCTTGAAGCATCCAGAAGTCTGAGGAGATTTGCAGATGCTTGAAGCTATATTAGTCCAGGCTAAACTCAAAACTCCAGTGGCAGCATTTGGGAATAAAATATCAAAAGTTCCATGATCACGCTTTCCAAATTGTTCAGGATGAGTGTACTGTACAAATATTTGCATTATATTTCTTCTGAATATTGTGAATATTAGTTAATTGAGAATTTATGTGTTAAAAATCTAATATATTTGTTCATAAGGGCATAATGCTTAAATCTTATAAAATATGAATATAATGTGCACATATGTTTTTACACTACCAAATATTTTTCTTTCTCAAAATATGTGGAATATATATTCCTTAAAGTAGCCTGCTATTTCCCAGGGAAGATAAATTTAAATTTGCAAAATTGATATTCTTCAAGGATATTTTTCTTGCATTATTTTCTGTCAAAATCACCTTTGTAGTCACCTAGCCCTAATCATCTTTTCCTATCTAAACAGGAACAATCACGGTTAAATTCTCTTGTGTGCCAGACATTTGTCTTCTGTTATTTGTGGTCTGTGGGTGGAAATATAACGGAGAACTGTTGGGATGCTTTTGATACATTTGTAAGACAGCAATTTGAAGATAATCCTGATGCCAAGGTATGAAATATATTGTGGGAATAATACTTTGGCTTTTGTGGTAATGCTCTTCATTATCATGTTGCAATAAAACAAGAGTGATTTTTCCTTTATTTCAACCTCTAAAAAGAGATATTCACAAGTGTTTCTGGATTCAGATATACCCCAAACAAACATCCCGTTAAAATAATATTAGGGCAGGAATGTGCAAAATTCACAGATTTGGGAAGACAACATTCTGGAACTCGGGAAAGTTCTCTTTCTCTGTAGATCTTGCTAAACCTCCTCTTGAACTGGAGATGATCCAGCAGTTTCTGGAAATAAATTCCCTGAACTGGAAATGTTTAACATGTTCTGGACCAGTTTTCTAACCTGTTTCAGGGTTGGATGAGCCCGGCTCACCCTGAATTGCTTCTGCTTTGAAGGTTGGGGACCATCCCTGGAATGGCATTTTCAAGAAGTGTTTTGGCATAGCCAGGAGGGAAATTGAATGTTTCACTCCAAAATGATGGAACGCATATTACTACTTAGAACAGTGGTGGCAAACCTATGGCATGCATGCCAGAGGCAGCACTCAGAGCCCTCTCTGTGGGCACACGTGCCATCGCCCCAGCCCCGTCTCCCCCCACAGCCCCCTCCTCACCAGCAGCCCCCCTGGAGGAGAGTTGCCCCGGGTGCGGTCTGCGCGGAGCAGTGCAGCCAAGGACATGACAGCCAGGCAGCAGGGACAAGATTCTGCCCTCGCGCCCCGTCATGTGCAGTTGATGCTGCGGGGCGTGGGCGAAGGGTGTGGCCACCATGGCACTGCAGGGCTGCCTGGGCGATCTGCGGCAGGCCGTGGAGGCGGTAGGTGGCCCTGTGGGTGGGCAGGGCAGGGGGCAGAGCAGGGGCAGAGTGGGAGGGGGGTTCACCATCATTGACTTAGAACTTTTCTCTACACGGACCTAATCATGTACAGACAGTCTCTTTTTTTCTACTGTGTCTCAAGATCTGCTTTCACCTCCTTAACTGTACCAGAGGTAGCTGAAACCATCATAAAGTATTCTAGTGCTGAAGTAAGGTTTTCTTAAACAGACAACAAACTGCAGCAATTATGCCATTGCTGGTGCATTTCACCAATTATCGAGCAAGTGTTGCAGCCAGACAACTTGTATGCAAATGAACAATTTGACACTTGCTTGGCTATTTTAGGCTAATGCAAGCATCTCTCTTCCCCTTTGGTTTCTCGACCCAGTTCTCTATTATAATTTAGGCAATAAGAGATTTCCGATCTTTCAAACTGGGCTGTTCCTCATAATGAGGTCTCCAAGCATACCTGTGGCTCAGAATCCTAGCTCAGCTACTTTTAAAACACCAAGTTGAGTAGACTAAACCTTAGTTTAAAAATAGTTTAAAAACAGGCATGGTGCAGAGGTTGTTCCATGAAGCAGCAGAGGGAGGTTGGTTCTCTCTCCTCGTTTATCTTCTGAAAACACCCCCACCTCCACCCAATCTGTGCCTGTCAGCTCTTTTTCAGGTTTGCTGACAGGCACTGATGTTAAAGAGGCAGCTTTCCCATTTCCTGCCACCTCTGTCAGCATTTGCTGCTGATTTCTGGGTGGGGGTGTATGGAAGAGGAAAGCAAGGTGATTTTACTCTACAGTATTTATCCTCCAGGTCTGTCACACTAAATAAAAATACAGCACTTGATGGCATCATTGATGTAATTTTCTATCTTCTGAAAGACTCATAGACAGCACTCTTGGCTCTTACTCTCTGTAAGATTTATTCTTGGTCTAAAACAGGGGTGTCAAACTGCTAGCCTGTGGGCCAGTTTCATCATACCGAAGCCGCACCCACCCCATTGCCGGCAATGCAAAAAGAGTCGCAATACGTCGCGACACATCACGTGACGTGGCGAGTTTGACACCCGTGGTCTAAAACTTAAGTAAACCTCATGTACAATAACTGGCAAACATGTGAACTAAATAAAGGTTTCCTTGATTATTTGCCGATTCAAAATGCATAGTGTAATACCTGCTTTAGATTTTTTTTTTTTAATGGTAAATTCTGAGGATAACGAACAAAATTCTGCCTTCATTATTGTAGAGAAAAACCCGAGAATGTATTAGTAGTTTCTGCTAGTTTATGGATGAAAGAATCTGAGCAATTTATGGTTCAAACTCCTATGTCTGTATTAATAGAAATATTCTTTGCTCTTGAGTCCTTGGTAGAACATTAACATGGCTGTTTCACCTTCTAGCTCCCAACTTCTGGCGATTTGTGGAGTGTTTACATTGATTACGATACAAAACGCTTGGATCCTTGGGAACGAATTATACCAACGTTTAAATACAAAAGGACAGTACCATTTTTTGAAATGCTTGTTCCTACCACGGACACTGTACGCTATGGCTTTCTAATGGAAAAATTACTAGCTGTCAAACATTCCGTGCTATTCACAGGAATTACTGGAGTTGGCAAAGTAAGAATTATGTGATTACACAGTGAAATTATTTGGTTTTGAAAACAAAACAAAACAACGGATTCAAAAGGACTTATTAAAAAAAACATTTAAAGGACTGTTCATTAAGGCATTTTTTGACTAAGGCCCAACCTAATTATGATTCTCACCACACACTTGGGTGTTGTGTAATTATTCTTTATTTAACAAATAACAGCACAAGGGCTGTGAGCCAGATGAGGCATCATATGTAGAGAAGAAGACTTGAACATTTTCCCCAACTGCAGGCCTAATCACCATTCTTCAGTTAAGAGTGCCAGGTATGCCCTGTTCCCAGTTCTAATCAAGACGGTAGTCTTTCACACCACAGTCCCGATCTGACTCGACCCTTTTCTCCCCATCTCTTCAATTAGCCTGTCTGTTGCCACAAAAATCACACACACACACACCCTTGGAATGTGTGCCATGACTTTGCACAAACATCCCAAAGCAATGGAACTTGCAGCAAATTCGTACAAAACTCCTTTTTTGTCAATTTGGCAAAAACAGCCAGGAGCAAGGGATCCACAGGTAGGCAACACCAAGTTGCCTCTGGTTTGATGTTAACTCTAGAGATAGTGAAGGATTACAGGAAGAGTCATAATTTCTGCATTTGGGGAAATTAATTTTCCGTTACAACTATAACTTCATTATAAAAGTTACGGTATTGGCTGATCAGCTAAAAAGGAACAAGATAAATAAATGCATTATAAATATTTTGAAAGACCTGTTGAGTCCCTTATTTAGCGGGAATGGGAAAAGAGAAAAAAAAACTTGCATGCGGACATTTTTGTGGCCCATAGAAATGGAAGAAATATGATTGGGAAATGTATTACTGCTCATAGGATTCTATAATCTGGTCCACATGTAGCAATATAGTAAATATTGGAGGAAATTACGGTATCTACATGTCCTGTTATTTATCTACCTTTTCTTTTACAAAGTCTGTAGTTGCAAGATCACTTCTTAACAAAATACAAGAAGAAGCCGGCTATGTTCCTGTTTACTTAAATTTCTCTGCTCAGACTTCTTCAGCCAGGACACAAGAGATTATTGAATCAAAATTAGAAAAAAAAAGAAAAAATATTTTAGGTAAAGATAAGTAACTACATTCTTTTTCTTGTAGTTGATTATTTAGTTTTGCTTTTTGTTTGGTTTGCTTATCTATGTACCTCTTGATCACCTGACAGAATTGAAGAAAATTAGCTTTCTGATAGGTACAGTTCATTAATATTCTTCCTGTTTCAGATTTGAATGTGAAATAATATAGTTGTACCTCAAAGTAATAGCAAAAGGAAAACTGAATTGAAATATTAATATAGGATGCAATATTATATTGTATGCTTCAACACTTTTACTCAAGAGGGCACTATTGGCATTTGAGAAATCTAATATATTCATGTTATTATGTTCTATCATGTTAACCTGAGTTTTGGTTTAAGTCAGCCACTCTCCAGGAATTCCCAACTGCTGATGTTTATCAAATATGTTTCCCTTCCCTGTTTATAAAATAATGTTAAAATTATACCAAAGTGCAATTTCTGTTACTTGAGACAAAACACAAACACAACTGCATATAATGTTCAGGGTGCTCTGGCTACGTGTTGCTCGTCCATGACTAATATGGATATTGGTGAGAAATAGACATCCTAGCCCTTTCATCTTTTAAATATTGGGATATAGCCATGATTGAAAACTCAGATTCTAATGAATAGTAAGGTTTTTTTGCAGAAATAACAGAATAACAGAGTTGGAAGGGATCTTGGAGGTCTTCTAGTCCAACACCTGCTCAAGAAGGAAACCCTATATCATTTTAGACAAATAGTTGTTCAATTCTTCTTAAAAATCTCCAGTGTTGGAGCACCCACAACATCTGGAGGCAAGTCGTTCCACTGATTAATTGTTATAATTGTCAGGAAATTTCTCCTGAGTTCTAGGTTGGTTCTTTCCTTGATTAGTTTCCATCCATTGCTTCTTGTCCAGCCTTCAGGTGTTTTGGAGAATAGGTTGACCCCCTCTTATTTGTGGCAACCCCTTAGATATTGGAACACCACTATGTCATTCTTTTCATTAAATTAGACATATGCAATTCCTGCAACCAGTCTTCATATGTTTTAGCCTTCAGTCCCCTAATCATCTTTGTTGTTCTTCTCTGCACTTCTTTTAGAGTCTCAATATCTTTATATCATGGCAACCAAAACTGGTTGCAATATTCCAAATGCGGTCTTATCAGGGCATTATAAAGTGGTATTAACACTTCATGTGATCTTGATTCTATTCCTTTTTTTAATACAGCCTAGGACTGTATTGGCTTTCTTGGCAACTGCAGCACAGTGCTGATTCATATTTAAGTGATTGTCCACTGGGACTCCAAGATCCCTTTCGCAGTTACTACCATAGAGCCAGGTACCATCTATTCTATACCTGTGCATTTGGTTTTTCTTACTTTTCTCACCGTTGAATTTCATTTTGTTAGATAGGACCCAGTGTTCTAGTCTGTCAAAATTCAGATGTGTTGTTCCATGTTGGGGCTTTTCTTCATGCTCTGTATGAATCTTGTGAATAGATGTGTTCAGGAGAAAAAGTATTTTGCTTTCTAACCTAAATATAGTTTAGCCATATTTTGTTCTTGTTTTACTGATCTATTACTAAAGAAAAGAGAATAGAATTATGTGCCTCTCTTTGCCTTCAACAGAAACAGCAAAATAAACTATATTTCTTCACAAAATTCCTTTTTTAGATTAATCTACTTTGCCAGGACCCATGGGATTAGCTCCCTACAGCAGCTTTACTAAATAAATCTGAACTGCAATTCCCTATTTGGGATTTGCAGTGCCAAAAGATCTGATGATCTCCAGGTTGGAGAAGCTGCCTTAGATGCAAATAACTATACTACTTTATAGCTAAAGACAGTTAAAGTAAAAAAAAAAAAATTAGCTCTGATGGTCATGGGCTATCTCTCATCTTCTGTTGCCTTCAGCCAATCAAAATTTCCAAGGCTTTCTTTTGTTCTCTATTTTTGACAACATATCCCAGAAGAGAATATAAAGATAATTTACTGCATCAGTTAGGCTAGTTATTTTACATATTATTTATGTCTGTCTGCCTCCTTGCTGTCAGTGTGCTCTGACATGTCTGATTTTAGCTTTAAACTTACTGGTGGACTTTGTCATAGTTGTCTCCAACCTTCACCAGAAAATGTAAGATAAATACCATTATATCCAGTAGAGAAAAGAAATCTATTACCGCTAACTCCTACCCAAACGTGGATACAGAACATCTGACAACTTCTGTTTCAGATTTAAATTAACTGATTAATTTAATAATCAACTAATTGTTATACACTGCCCAGAGTTCCTCTCTGGGGGAGATCAGAGTTCAGAACTGTAAAAAAAATACATTTAAATAAATAAGTAAATAAATAATCCCACAGTTGTTCTGAAAATGGTTCATTAGCATTTTTTCATTTTAGTGCAAAATCACAGTACCTGTTTGGATTCTAGAAAATGTACCAATTTCATCACTCCTCAACAGAGCTATCCTAGCTTAGCATGTGTCATTGTATGCCCTGTGATTATCTTTTAATGTCAGCCAGATCCCTTATTACTGTGATTTAATACCTCACTATGAAGCAGTATATAAGTCTAAGTGTTATTGCTATTGCTAATATATTATAAAAATATCTAAGTTACACAAAATGTGTTATTACAGCATGGAATATATAAAGTTGGTGTAAGGCATCAGGCTAGAAACAGGGAATTGTGCCTTAGGCATAAAGACAGTTGAATGGTTTTGGGCAAATCACTCTCTCTCTCTTTCTGTCAGCCTGAGGAAGAAAGCAATGGCAACCCACTTCTGAAATCTTGTCAAGAAAACTGCAGGGACTTGTTCAGGCAGTCACCAGGAGTCAACACTCATTCAAAGGTGTGCACGCACACAAAAATAGCCTTCCCCAATATGATGCCTTCCATATATTTCTATTATACGTATATAATCTCTCACTGGCATGATCAACAATTAGGGACTGTGAAAATCAAAATCAGATATTATATATCTGAACTATTTAATCTGAGAAGACTGAAACAGAGGTATGCACTTTGAGGAGAAGCTAAGGATTAAAACATTGAGGGGGAAAGAGCAAAGCAACCTAGAAAGGTTTGTGGAAATGTAAAGAGACTATCAGAAAAATGAAGTGGATACAAAAAATCCCAAATTGTTGGAGGCCTTGGAGGGCTGAATTCAATAACTAAGGAGAAAATAGTTTGTAAATGGAGAGTTAAGGATTTACTCTCTGTGCCCTCTTTGTTCATCACTCTATTGCTCTTTATCTGAAAGACAGTTTGTTGTGTTGTGGGAACAGTGAGGCATTGAAGACACGGAGTTGAAATAACAGCTCTTTATTAGTTCTCACAGAAACGAACTCTAGCAGCTGCTTGACTCATATTTATACGGACCGCCACTAGGCGGTGGCCAATCAGTTTAAAGTACTCATTCCCGCCTAAAACAAAGGCTTAAAGTTATACAGTCAGTCAGTCTATAGTTCAAATAAAAGCATCAGTTAACCGTTTTTTATAACAGACCTTATGAACCAGCTAAATACATAACACAGTTAATCTGAGATCCCTTCAATTTTGACTTCTGTACATATGCTCTGACTCTTCCTGCTACAATGTAGTTATCCAAGGGCCAGGCTTTGATTAGCCCTATAATCTATTTCCTGTAAATACATTAACTATTATAAATACAATTGTCATTTCTGATGCAGCTATCAATCTTGTGTCACTAATACTTGCGCAGGTTAAATTCCCACTTTCAGAAATGATTGTATAGACTCCTGTAGAACACTCCAGTCTCCAATACAAATTACTAATGTTTATGATTGCCTTCTTTCTCAACATTTTTGCTCTTGTTATTTGATTGTGTCTCAGTGATTTTATGCAAGTACTTTTTAATTTTAATATTTTCTTTATTTCGCCTTCAACATTATGTTATTATTGGAAAGGTGGCATGGACAGGGAGGTGGGGAGCAGAAATTCACATTAGAAGACCAACTCTACCCTGAATGGCATATTATCATTTTTTTTCCTTTTAGGAAAACTATATGCCTTATTTCAGTATTTGCTGGAAGATCAATTAGTTCTCAGATGTGGTCTTTAGGTGACTAGTCAGCAAGCCCACTCTGCCAAATATATAGTGGTTTGTGGTGTTAAAGTCTTGTTTGACAAACTGAATCCTTCTGATAGCCATGACTTTGATGCTTGGGCTTATTGAGGAATATGTGCAATAAGGCAAAAAGACTTCTCATTTGTTGAAAGTAGCCTTTTAAATGCCATTATTGATGATTAAATTGTGTGCATTCAAAAGTAGCATACCTGATTGACTTGTTTCCCCCTGTGATTTGCATGCCTTCTGACAATTCTCATCCCTTCAGTGTGACCTCTTCAGTTTCTCTGGTTGTCCAGTCAATCTCTTCAATTTTTCCTACTTAGGAAGCCTTATTAAGGATACGATAAGCTTTCTTTGCAACTGCTCCTTCTGCAGAAGGGATGTTAAAACATTGCCATATGTCTTCATCCTGTTTGGCAATTGTCTCACTTCAGAGAGGCCTCAGCAGGTTTTAACTATAGACAACTGTTTAGTAACCATTATATCACCCATGAATATAATGCCGCTGGTCATTAGCCCAAATTGGATTTTGCAGACTGTTCCCTTTCTGCCTCTGATAAAACTTTACTTTTTCTGATTGAAAAATGCAGAATCTTGCTCAAACTCTATTGCACATAGTCTTTTACATAGATATTTGCTCTAAGGTAGTCATTTTACCTCTGTTAAAAAAACCCATTATTTATCTTTACAGCTACAAATTATATATTCTTGTATTTTCTTAATAAATGTTTTTGAAATGTTAGTAAAATATATATACGGTATCTAAGAACTTCCTCTCTGTCTGTGTGCAGTTTGTGCAGTGGAGGAGATGGATCCCCAGGAGGTATATTCCAAAAGAGTAAGAGGCAACTTAGCCTTGATATTGTATGTGAGAGAAAGAGGATGAAGACAGCACCTCCCTAATAGTCCACAGAGTATATTGTAGATGCAGATAGTAGAGTCCTTAGTCTGGCAAACGTTTGTCTATAGCTGTGGAACAATAAAGAACTCAGCTTGGAAGAATTGCCATGTGTCCTTTTTGATTTTGAGCCTGACAGTTGTCCTCTTGATATGACAGTAATATGGAAATCAATCCTGGCCACAATTTTATTAATAAAATTCTCAATTCATTTAGAGATTAAATAAGACCATAGAAAAAGTAAACTGGCAGCCTTTAATATAGATCCATCCTTTCTATAAAAATAATAGTGCTGTGTCCAAATGTTTGCTTCCTAAGGGAGTGTCCTGTTTTCATGTTAGGGCGGTATCCTGTCTACCTTCTTTTGTTTGCCAAGCCCCTTTCACAACAAGTAATGACATTTTTAAATTTGTTATGCGTAGATTTATCATCACCTTTCCTCAGTATTGTTGGGTAGCAAATACTCTAACACTTGCAAATAAGCTGGTCAACCTGCCTACTTTTGCATGCATTGGGCTTATTCCTCTGGGTCAAGCAGCTTCTACTGTTTTGATTTCCCAAGGGAACTGTGTTGCCTGACATTTGTCAAACAGGTAACTGTCCATCTTCTCTTAACCCTACAGATTAGAAACCAGAGCCCAGACAAATGCTGGTTTCAAATGACAGTCTTCAATAACCAGTTTGCCCTTCTATCAGCAAGCATAGATGTGTGTGGTACCTGGGAGAAAGAGACTGGCTATCTTTAAGTATGGCTCTTCAAATGATGATTTGTGCTTTCACACAATCTACTCACCATCCTTTTCCAGGCATATTTCTTTCAAGCCTACTATGAGAAGCGTACCTCACTTTCTGTCTTATACACTATCTGTTTAAGCTCAAGGGCCTAAATGGAGCTTCACAGAATTTGTTGTAGGGCTTCTTTCTTTGGAAAGCTTTGCTTTAGGATTTTTCAACATTGCTATGTGTAAATGAACATTTGAAGAATCAGAATTAGCCGAATTGCTATACACCAAAATACTAAATACTTGGTGTTAAATATCTTTATTCTATGGCAGGGCTTACCAGCAATGGTTTCTTTACTCATGTATTGTTTAGGAGCACCAGGGAAAAAAAGAGTTGTCATTTTTGTGGATGATCTAAACATGCCGAAACTGGATCGTTATGGCTCACAGCCCCCTATTGAGCTACTTAGACAGTACCAAGACTTTGGAGGATTCTATGACCGAGAAAAACTGTTTTGGAAGGAAATCCATGTAAGTCTATTTTCACTGCCTTTGACTGTTCTAATTCCATGTTTCATTAGAGACATGCTATAAATAGTGCTAATTACCGTTCTCCTTCCCAAAGGCTGAATTCTGATACAAGTAGAGTTTTGAGGCTTGTTGTTTCTTCAAGACTTTCTTCACTCCAGTTCACACAAGCAAGGAACAGAGTGGCATTAAATATAATGGAGATTTTGCCCTATAGAACAAACTGTTAATCTACTACTGTTCTCTGTGTATATCTAGGCCAGGGGTAGGCAACCTTGGCTCTTTTATGACTCGTGGACTTCAACTCCCAGAATTCTGGGAGTTGAAGTCCACAAGTCATAAAAGAGCCAAGGTTGCCTACCCCTGATCTAGGCCATATTTTTGTGCCATAGTTTACCAAAAAGTGTCATTGTTTTTGGAAGATTTCTCAATTGTTGTGATTCTTGTTATTACTTAAATTTGTATATAGCCCAATTTCCAATGACTCTAGGCAATTGTAGCAGTAGGAGAAAAAAGGTGCAGTAAATTTGGAGAGAAGCTCTGTTCATAACAGAAAATGTGAACACTCCCTTTCCATTATGTGTTTCCGCCACATCCCATTCTTCCATCTGGAAGCTCAGATATTGCTTCATCTGTGGTTATTTTCTTTTCAGTGTATGTTTGGTCCAGGCAGATACCATACCATATCAAGCTGCCAACAATCAGTGACAAAACGGTTGCTTTTCAGAGGTGCATTCTTTAGCAATTTTTGGTCTAAAATGAAAATCAAAAAGGGTACGTTAAACCTCTGTAAGGCCCGGGGCTCCTATCCTGATGTGTAATCCTTCAATTTATGCTCCAAAATGAACTGAAAATGTTCAGTGCTGGCTACCCAGCGACCTGCATTACTCGCATGCATCTCCTAGCCCTAAGACAAAATATCAGGTTGGATCAGATATAACTAGCAGGAGGGACCCTCAGGAGAAATGGAAGCAGGAATGATAAATCATTTCCCTTTTTTTTTCAGGAAAAGCAACCATGTGCTATAAACTATTCTGTTTCAGAGAGAACGCTGTCCTGGCGTATCTGGGCTGCCTAAGGCCTAAAAGCTATTCACGTCACCACAGGTGCCCAGTGCTCCCCAATCCTTCACCTCATTACCATGCGAATGATTAGGCTGGAAGGGAGAATGGGTGAAGGTGACCTCCCTCACGTGCCCTTTTTTTCAGTGTGATTGGATTTCCAGACCTGTATCAGAGGGCACATGACAATTACAGCTGAAAGGAGCACCATGAAATAGCGTCTGAGCTTGACCTTTGCATGCTGCCTTCTCCCAGTCGATCATGTCCTTGGCAAGCCGCCAGATAATATGGGGAGCTTACCAGGAACACCGCTGTACTTTGGAAGAAGTGAACTAAGATGTTGCATTGACCTAGTGCACAAGAGTTTGCAAAATATTTGGAAGAAGTGCTTTTTGCAAGGCCCAAATGAAGTGTCTGTCTTCGAAGTGTTAATGCAAGCTGCATCCTTTGCAAGGATACACAGTTGGTTTAAAGGCTGTGTTTGGTTTTTCTGCATGCATGTTCCAAGATAATGTTTCTGCTGGGATTGTTAGTAAAACTAAGTGCCTATGCATACACACATGGACAGAGGGCCAGAAATAGCCTTTGAAGCAGACGTGAGAGAAGAGCTATTTTAAAGAGATGCTCCATTACTAATAGTACATTTTGTAAAGCACCTGTTTTGAATACTCTGCACGACACTATGTATTTTCCCCCTGATTTATTAATCTGTGGTATAGTCAGTGATTGTGCTGTAAAGAAGGTAAAATATGTTGATTTTTTCCCCTGAAATTTAAACACCAGAAGAAACAATCCACTAGAGGACAGCAGCTTTCTGATCAAATTACTCTTGTACTTGGCTAGGTCAATATTTGTCAAGTTCTCTGTGCTATGCCATCTGGATTCCTTTATATTCAAAATTGTAGAACACAGAATTGTACAAACTTAAGCTAAACCTGTATGCTCATAATGCAGATATTTTGATACCAAATTAAAAGTTGGAGTAAGAATGGAGTAATTATATTGAGTTATGGTTTACTTATAATAATAATAATAAATCTTTATTGATTAGCCCTTGGGCCATATCAAAGTGCAAAGTTCCAACAACAAATCATTATCAAAGTCTGATAAAAGCAATTTAAAATAAAATTTGATAAAATACAGTTTAAAATGGAACTAGAGTAAAATATGACTTAAGATGAAATTGGAGTAAAATACAGTCTAAAATGAAGTTAAAATAGAGTACAGTAATTTAAAATATAGATAAAATATGATAAAATTATATCTTGGAGTCACCCTTGCAATCTATCCCAACCAGTCCCACATATGTAGATCTCAACCGAACCATTTTGTTTAAATACTGTGCTGTGTTAAATGTTATTTTCAAGTTCTGGCCGCACATAAGGTAAGTTGTTTTGATATGGGGATCCCAATGAGTCATTTGTTTGATATATAGACCGAGGTACCTGTCTCTCACCCTCTTGTACAGGCAAAATCAAATAGTATGTGAGCCAGGTCTTCTACCTCTGCCGCTCCGCAAATGCAGAGACGCTCATTGTAAGGTATAGAATGGAATCTCCCGTATCTGACCATTGTGTTTACTTATAAATATATTCTTTGAAGCAGGGATCTTTAGAAGTAATAGCACCACAGATTATTAACTTCTCACACAAATCATCTTGCAATCTTCTCCCCAGGACGTAACTATTTGTTCAGCTTGTGCACCTCCTGGTGGTGGACGTAATCCAGTTACCCCACGTTTCATAAGACATTTTGCTATGCTGTGCCTTCCAACACCCTCTGAACATAGCCTTAAACAAATTTTTCAGGTGAGTACATATGTACTATGTACATAAACGAAAAGTATATTTTTTTTGGGGGGGGGGGGTTTCTGTCATAGCATATTGTTTTGTAGTGCTAGGTCCAGATAGACAGCTGGGCTAAAGCTGTTGGTAATTTCCTTTAAATTAGAATGTAAAGTAGCAAACATACAGTATCTCTATAAATAAACAATCAGACCCAGTTTCTGCTTTTGGCTTTATTGTTTTAATTGCTTTTCTGGTTTTTAGTATTGTTTTGAGCTGCTGAGAGTTTCGTTCTTAAGATGGGTGCCCATAGAAATCTTTTAAATAAACAAACAAGGCTAGACAAGATTGCCTTATGTTCAAACTAACAGAATTTACCTTTTTTCAGACCCTTTTTTTCTGGAGAAAAGATTGTCAGGCTAGAAAGCATTAGTACATTTAATGCTCATTTGTACACATAATGTTCTCTGTATACCTTCCAGAGGCATTCTTTCTATCTGTGGCTTTACAAATGAAAGAAAATTATAGTATTTAAAAAAGCAACAGTGCAAGCCAAATCTGTATGTTCCAACTGAGCATGGATGAATTGCTCTGTGCACAATAGACTTTTTCCATCAGCTGCATTGATCCAGAACCTTGTATGTGTTTGGCAATGAAACATAACGTTCTTGCTTTCAGATGCTTCCTTATTGGTTTAATTTGTTTGCAAATTACGAACCGGTCCTCCCATCGTAATGAGTGGGGAATTTTTGTAGATGTAGAAAATGGCAAAATGGTACTCAGAGTAGATGAAGAATTTGAGCACCTTTTATAGAGTCTGGTTTTTTGGGTTGATACAGAGCTCTAGGTTCACTTTTAGTGGGGTTTTTTTTTTAAATCAAAGCTATTGTAAAAGAAAGAAACAAAATATTTAGCTTTGTGTTTTGTATTATTTTTCCCTTGGTCTAGGCTATTCTGAAAGGCTTCCTAGCTGAATTTGCCCAAGCAGTAAAGCAGTGTGCAAGTAGTATAGTGGAGGCAGCTGTTGAAATATATCAAAGAATGAGCATTGATCTGCTCCCAACACCAGCAAAATCTCATTATGTGTTTAATTTACGTGATTTGTCAAAGTGTGTACAAGGTAAGGTATATCTATTCCATATAGTAGTTTTTTGTTGTTCAAATTCTGTGCTCACATCTTCAGCAATTATTCTCTATATTTATCACCTTACATAAATTTAGTACTGTATTAATAATAAATATTGGTAATTCAATTTATTATTTGTTTTCATTTTTTAGCCTTAAATAACCTTATTGCTAGTGTATTCTTTCATAAAAGCATCATATTAATACTTTTAAAACAGCGGTTCTCAACCTATGGGTCGCAACCCCATTTGGGGTCGATCGACCATTTCATGGGGGTCGCCAAGCAAGGCTGTCCGCCATTTTTTCCCTTTTTCCGGCGGATGCCTTACCTCCCTTGAGCTGGGCCAGCTGGTGGTCGGCCTGCTCCGTCTCTGCCACTTGCCAGCTACACCTCAGCCGGCGCAGGGGGCGGAACCACGCATGCGCGGCGCTCCCGAGCAGGGAAAGTCCTCGACTTACGACTGGTTGGGTAGTCCTCGACTTACGACCGGTTTAGTCCTCGACTTACGACCGGTTGGGGGTCGCGGCATCAAAAAGGTTGAGAACCACTGTTTTAAAACTACTGCCACATTCTTCAACAATGATGCCTATTTTGAAGAGGTTAGAGAAGACTTCAAATCAGAGTGGTACAATCTGTATAAATCGTATTCAAAAGGCAGATGCATCCAGTGCAATTATAGATAAAATAATTTGTGTTATAGCCGTAGTGAAATCTATAATATGCAATGCCAAATATTATAATAATATTTTCTAGCTTATGTGGTCTGAAATTAACTATGTATTTCTGATGTGCTTTTCTCTGAAGAGACGTGGACAATCCTATCACCTTTATTGTATTTCCTAAAGCACACGTAGAATCAGAGAATATAATGATTAAAAAGGACTTTGAAACTCATCTTGTCTGGTTTTTTCAAACTTTGACAATTTCCAGATGCAAGAACTTCAGATCCCAGAATTCCACAGCCGAGATGACCCTTGCTGAGAATTCTAAGAATTAAAGTTCACATAACTAGAGGTTGTTGAAGTTGAGAACATTAATTGGCTTCAGTTCCAACTGAGTGTAGAAATCCTATTACTATATCTCGAACAGATGTCCATTCAGTTTCCATTGAAGTTCCTCCAGCAAAGAAAACCCACACCCTGTCCCACTGCAATCTGTTCCACTACAGAACAGCTTGTACTATTAGGAGATGCTCCTTTACATCCAGTCAAAATTTGCTTCATTATAATTTAAATCCATTTCTTTTTGGCCTGTCTTCTGAAACAACATGAAGCAAATCTATCCTATCTTCTACATGGCAACCATTCAAATGCAGGTCTGACTGCAGTCTTCTCTTCTCCAGACTAAACATACCAAATGTCTCCAAGTGTTCCTCATAAATTTTTCTTTCCAGGACCCTAATTATTTTGCTTGCTTTCTTCTGGACACACTCCAGTTTGTCAATCTCCTTCCAGGAATAAGGACAATATTTTAGGTGTGCAATAAAAAATAGAGAAGAAGGAAAGAATTTTCACAGTAAAAAGTATCAGGAGGCTAATCAAACTGTATAGCACGGGCTATTTAATTTAAATATATGGATAAACAAGAATGTTGCATTAGTTCCAATTCTATGCCTACTTAGCAACATCTTTATTTTCAAGAATAGCTCTTGAGTTCCAGATAAGTCCCATAAGCATATCTGGGGGTGGGAGAAACCTGGGTGACTGCATTAAAGTGTGGTCCTCCCCCACCATTTTATGTGAGCAACAATAAGGCTATCAAGATTCCAAACGCAGATATGTTTTTCATTTGTGAATAGAATCAATTTTATTTGGTAAACTGGTAAAGTTCTATCCCGCAGTCCTCTCTAGATCTGTTTGAGTGATTAATAATAAACATGAATTAGTAGTATTAATATTTCTCATATTTTGGATTGGAGACAAGGAGGTACTGCTTTTCTGCTGAAGTGCCAACATTGTGGAATAGCCTCTTAGTGGAGGTCAGGCTGGCTTCCCCTATGCAACATTGTGGAATAGCCTCTTAGTGGAGCTCAGGCTGGCTTCCCCTATGCAACATTGTGGAATAGCCTCTTAGTGGACGTCAGGCTGGCTTCCCCTATGCAACATTGTGGAATAGCCTCTTAGTGGACGTCAGGCTGNTGCAACATTGTGGAATAGCCTCTTAGTGGAGGTCAGGCTGGCTTCCCCTATGCAACATTGTGGAATAGCCTCTTAGTGGAGCTCAGGCTGGCTTCCCCTATGCAACATTGTGGAATAGCCTCTTAGTGGAGGTCAGGCTGGCTTCCCCTATGCTTGATTCTAAAAATCAAGCCTTTTCAGAGATCCTTCCCATAATTTGAGTTGTGGTTGCTACAGTATATTCTATTTTCTTTTCATTTGCGTAATTTCACTGTGTTATTATTTTTCTGTCAGGTTATTTTACATAGTATTTTTATGTGAGCCTCCAAGAATAATTTTTGGTTGCCGCAGCATAGAAATATAATACAAATATTCCTTATATCATAAAAATGTGTGCGTAGTTGTTTTCTGTATTAGACAAGACATTCTGTACAATGTGTCCAACAAGATAGATTGGTGTTTTCCATATGGAATAGAATGAAAAGAACTGTAACCTAAATAGGTAGGATGAGTAGTTTACACTATCGCTGCTCAGTCTTTTTCTGTTGTGATCAAACCTAATATTTTATAACATGCATTTACATGATTTTCTTTTAGAAATTAGACTGAGAAGTCAACTTTTTCCTTTGGAACACTCTCCTTTACTTAACAAAATATGAATTACTAAAGAAACAGGAAGATTGTATAATCTTTGAAGATATTTTTTTTAATTCTTTAGCTTCAGGGCTATTCAAATAGAAGAATAATTTTATTACCATAAATAATAGCTGTAGATACCAATTTTAAGATTGTATAGAAAAACATAGACTACAAAATAGCATAAAATGGGGGAGGTAGTTTTCTAATTTTTTTCTATGACATTATGCAAAAAGCCTGTTAACCTTGTCTATTAATCATTTTAGAATGTTTATTAAAGTCAGTGCATTAAATGAAATTAATTAAATTAACATCATCTGAATTTGATTTCCTGTATTCCATCCTAATCAGTAAAATATAATAATAATAACAACAACAACAACAACAACAATAATAATAATAATAAAAAGTTGGAAGGGACCTTGGAGGTCATCTAGTCCAACCCCCTGCTCAGGCAAGAAACCCTATACCATTTCAGACAAATGACTGTCCAATCTCTTCTTAAAGACTTCCAGTGTTGGAGCATTCACAGCTTCTGGAAGCAGGTTGTTCCACTGATTAATTGTTCTAACTGTCAGGAAGTTTCTCCTTAGTTCTAGGTTGCTTCTCTCTTTGGTTAGTTTCCTTCTATTGCTTCTTGTCTTGCCTTCAGGAGCTTTGGAGAACAGCTTGATTCCCTCTTCTTTGTGGTAACCCCTGAGATATTGGAACACTGCTATCATGTCACCCCTCGTCCTTCTCTTCATTAAACTAGACATACCCAATTCCAGCAATGGTTCCTTATAAGTTTTAGCCTCCAGTCCCCTAATCATCTTTGTTGCTCTTCTCTGTACTCTTTCTAGTGTCTCAACATCTTTTTTACATCATGATGACCAAAACTGGATACAGTATTCCAAGTGTGGCCTCACCAAGGCATTGTAAAGTGATCTTGATTCTATCCCTCTATTAAAGCAGCCTAGCACTGTGTTGGCTTTTTTTGGCAGCTGCAGCACACTGCTGGCTCATATTTAAGTGATTGTCCACTAGGACTCCAAGATCCCTTTCACAGTTACTACTGTTGAGCAAGGTACCTCCTAAACTATACCTATGCATTTGGTTTTTCTTGCCTAAATGTAGAACCTTACTTTTTTCACCATTGAATTTCATTTTGTTAGATAGTGCCCAATGTTCAAGTCTGTCAAGATCCTTCTGTATCTTAAGCCTGTCTTCTGGAGTGTTGGCTATTCCTGCCAGCTCGGTGTCATCTGCAAATTTGATGATTTCCCCATCTATCCCCTCAACCAAATCATTGATGAAGATGTTGAAGAGCACTGGGCCAAGAACAGAGCCCTGGGGCACCCCACTACTCACTTCCCTCCATATAGATGCAGTTCCATTGAGGACTATGTAAGAGTGACAGTATTTGGTGATAATATGGGAGACTGATACTACATTTTACACAAAATTGGGTGGTTTTCCAGGGATAATTTTTATTATGTCTGAGTATAGCTTTGTTTTGTCTATGTATAAACCAAAGTACCTTTCCATATCAACATATTAGTTAATTACACAACCTTTTTCTTTAAAATGAAATTTGATAGCTCTATTGTTCATCCTTGTCTTCCTTAGATAGAATGTTTAGTAAAGAGATAATGGATGAAGATATCTTAATATGTGCAAATGTTGATGAAAAGAAAGAAAAACAGAAAATATGATGTGCTAATCAAAATAGCTATGCATAAAAGAATACTTGTGCTATAAATTTACATTGTAGTAAATACTTCGCTATAAAGAAGTGATAGGTATGTCAAGAGAGGCGTAAAACTAAATGAAGTAGAAATGGGGCACCTAAGAGCTTTGTGTGTGGTAAAACAAAAATAGCTAAGGTCAAGAATTCAAACTCAATATCGACAATTTTTTGATTGTTAACGTTGAGTTGTTTGCATACAATGGATTTCAGCAGGCCTTTCATTTCTTGGTTGAACCCTGCTGCTAAGCTGCTGAGTATTGTAGAGAATGTCCTCTGGTGTTCAAGGAGCACAGCCTCTTTTTGAGATAAGGGGGCTTCAGATAGGAAGACAGCTTAATGAAAATGTCAGTGTGGTATAAGGATGCTTGAAGAAAGGCAAATGATATATTGAGAATCACTAGGAAAGAAATCAAAAATAAAACCGCCGATATTGTACACCTTTATACTCACTTGATCACCATACCTCTGTTCTCATAATTGCCTCAAGAACACCATGGAACCTAAGAAAGTGCAGAAAAGAGTAACCATAATGACCAAAGGCCTGCAGCACCCTAACTGCAAAAAAGATTACAATATTTGAAGTTTTTTAGCTTAGAAAAAAAAGCAAGTAAGGGGCATTATATAGGTGCTTAAAATGAGGCATGTTTGAAGGGAAGGGAACTTTCCCCTTAATACTATAGTCCAGTGGTTCTCAACCTGTGGGTCGGGACCCCATTTGGGGTCAATCGACCATTTCACAGGGGTCGCCAAGAAAGGCTGTCCGCCATTTTTTCCCCTTTTCCGGCGGGTGCCTTACCTCCCTTGGGCTGGGCCAGCTGGTGGTCGGCCTGCTCCATCTCTGCCGCTTGCCAGCTATGCCTCGGTCGGCGCAGGGGGCGGAACCACGCATGCGCGGCACTCCCGGGCAGGGAAAGTCCTCGACTTACGACCGGTTTAGTCCTCGACTTACGACCGGTTTAGTCCTCGACTTACGACCGGTTTAGTCCTCGACTTACGACCGGTTTAGTCCTCGACTTACGACCGGTTGGGGTCGCGGCATTAAAAAGGTTGAGAACCACTGCTATAGTCTGAATTCATCCAGTGAACTTGAATGAGAGGTTAGGACAGATAAGGGAAATGTTTACTTCTGCGTGTAGAATTCATTTGTATAAAATAGACTGCTAGTCACTCTATTAGAGAGTTTTTAAAAAATATTAGATAAACTTATAGGATGAGAACATGAATAATGGTTAGAATATGTTCAACATACTTAAAATGCATTAACCAAAAAAGAGTAAAAAATACATTCCAGTTGCAAAACTTTTACAAAACATTTGACCAGCTTACTCAAAAATACTATTTCTTACTTGAACTTCCCTCAAGCCATTTTGAAGAATTGCACATATCAGCTATCTGTTTCTAGAAGTTAGAAGTAGATTTGACTTCCACTATTATATAATAATTCTTTTGACCTTCTGCCATGTATAAAAAATTTTAACGTTCTTAGATTTAAAGATTCAATGACTTAGTTTAGCGCACCAGGTTCTTAATATGCTATTCCATGTAAAACACTCACAAAACAGATTGCAAAAGTACAGTAAAAACATAAACTATATTGGAAACATTACTATATTTGCTACATAGTTCATGTCCCTTTGAGGTAATCCAGCCAAGAAAACAAAAAACTTGAGTATTGACACTATCTTTATTGTAAGATTACAGTAACAGAATCTTGCGAATCTGAAAGCACTTCTCTTCCTCACCTTTAATTTCCAGATAACTAGAGAGGGTTCCTTCCTTCACTCTCATTCCTTCTGTGGGCTGAGATATCTCTTATCTGAATATTGCCTAGGCTGCAGTTCTTCCTTCTTCTGTCTCCCAAGGCTATTCTCACAGACAGGAGCGCACTGCAATCAACACATGAAAGAACTGACACTAATCTGATTGTCATACTGGGGGATGAAAAAGAAGGCCACAGGTGTTGAATATAACTAGGACAGGCTTGCTACTCCTAATCATGATAAGCTATGTCTTGTCATGATCCGAGGCAGTATGCCTCTTAATTTCAGATACTGCAGAACGTGACCAATGATTGTTATTATGTTCATATTTTAATTGTGTGCTTCTCTTCAGTAATTGGCTGGCCACTCTAAGAAAAGATTTCTGCTTTTCGTCTGATCTAGTATAACTCTTTTTGTGTTCTTTTGAATACCTTAGGAACAGTAGCATGCCGCACGAAAATATTTACTTGCAAATTGCACTTAAAATAGTTTGATGTTGCAGTTATCAGTTGGTGAATATGTATGTATTTTTAAAAGTATTGATGATTGCTTGTTATGTAAATAGCATTTCTTTTTCTATACAGGCATACTGCAGTGTGATCCTGTGTCAGTTCGAGACCAGAATCAGATATTTAGGCTATTCTGTCATGAGTGCCAAAGAATTTTTCATGACCGACTCATCTGTAATGAAGATAAACAATATTTTTATTCTATGTTAAGTGACATGGCCAGTAAGAATCCTTATTTAATGTATTTGTGTATGTCTGATTACTTTTTTAATCATAAACATTCTGTGCTTTCAAATGAGCAAACCAATTATTTTAATTTGTAGGTAAATATTTTGGAGTTTCAACTGACCCAGATTCATTTGCATCTAAACCTATCTTATTTGGAGATTACATTAAGGTGAGCATACTACTAACATATATAGAATCATAGCTTTATGATTAGCTTTATTTTTTTTAATAAAAATGTCCTCCTATATCAGCCTTTCTATAGCCAAAGTTGATTTGCTCTTACAAAAGATTTATGAATTTCAGCATCCAGTATTACAATAACAATCTTAATAATCAAACTGTTGCTGCTGGAATTCAATAAAACCATGAAAGTGTTTTTAGATCAATAATAGAGAGGCTTGAACAATAATACAGTTATTTTACAATCAATTTATTTCCCTGATCTGGAAAAAAAATTCAAATTCTCAAGTATAGTTCAAATGCAGAGCTTTGAGGGATAGTGGAATATAAGTGCAGTAAATATTGAAAAAAAATCATATGTACTTAGATGTTGTTTCAAATGTAAAACGTAATAGACCCCAAAGAGTGAAAAGGCAAGAGCGAAGTTTAAAACCACTGTTTCTGCCAACATCTCTGTTAGTTTGTGCATATCTCTTATTTTAGTTACATGAAAAATCTACATAATTATTAAGTGTCAGACGGAATGATGCGTAGCCTTAATAATGTTCACCAAATTCCTTTCCCCCACAAATGATGGTGTCTCTTTTATTGAAGTGGAATGTTCTCCAATTTGAAGTGTCTGTTAGATTATCTGGAAGTGTCATATTTAGGAATAAATTCTGAGCTGCTTTCAGAACTGACAGATCAAATCAGTGCAGAAAGTAAACAGCTGATCAGCAGATGGCCATGGCACAAACATATGGAATGAACATGGTTTTTTTGCTCCTTTGCTTTGGAATAGTTCCTAGAGTAATCTCTGAGGCACCGAGACTCATTTCACTAAATCTCTTAATTAAATATTTACCTATATAACTGTTATGTGATTCATTACATTGAATTTACCTTCCATTTTATGAAGGAAATGTCTGCAATATGCACTGATATTAATTATAATAAGGATACAAAATTGCTTTGTGATAATCCTCATTTTGTCATTTTTTTTTAATCTCCTGGACCTCCTGGATTTCAAATCACAACATAGATCTGGTGTCAGCAAAAAACATGCACTAGTTTTGTTTTGTTTTTAGTTTCCCGAAAAGCTAAATTCTAGACTTCAAATAATTTGTTAGATGGACAGCTAAGGAAAGGGAGACTTCCCTGCTCCAGGCATCTTCCAGAAACTTATTTATATACAGTATGTCCAATAGAGAATCTCACTACAAATTTGTAAGATTCATTTATAACAATTGACAGCATCAGTGGGTCATGGACTTAGACTATGATTTCTGCTTGGATGACAAGGGGATTAAAAAAAGCATATTTTCATGATAAGAATGTCAGTTTTTCCACCAAGAAATAAAATATGCATACTTTCTTGGATGTTATCTTCATAAATGAATAAAAATACGAAGTAATATTTGTAAAAAGAAAGCCTAGAGAGTGACAGATATGTGTCCTGCAAATATACTGTACCTTTTCCACTTCTGAGCTTTTCAAACTGAAAAGAAAAAACAAGAAAATAAACAGAGGTTAAAGTTCACCCTTTTGGAAATGATTTAGATAGATCATTTAGATTTAGATAGTTGAAAATTTAAAACATCGAAAAATGTTGTATTCCCATCTGTTCATTGGTGGGCAATGGATCTGAAATCACCTTAATGAGTCCTCTTTTCTTCCATCTCAATCAGCCAGAAAGTATCTTATGGCATATTCCAAATTGCTTTGAAGGATGTTGTAGTTGAAAACTAGGATATGCATTCATTAATAAATAAAATGCTATGGAGTTTAAGAACAGAAAGAAAGAGATGGTTCATTGAACTAACTTGCTATAGTGTTTCCCAGGAATAATAATAATAATAATAATAATAATAATAATAATAATAATAATAATAATAATAATAATAATAATAATAATAATAGTAGTAGTAGTAGTAGTAGTAGTAGTAGTAGTAGTAATAGTAAAGTTGGAAGGGACCTTGGAGGTCATCTAGTCCAACCCCCTGCTCAGGCAGGAAACCCTATACCATTTCGGACAAATGGCTGTCCAGTCTCTTCTTAAAAACTTCCAGTGTTGGAGCATTCACTGCTTCTGGAGGCAGGTTGTTCCACTGGTTAATGTTCTAACTGTCAGGAAGCTTCTCCTTAGTTCTAGGTTGCTTCTCTCCTTGATTAGTTTCCACCCATTGCTTCTTGTCCTGCCCTCAGGTGCCTTGGAAAATAGCTTGACTCCCTCTTCTTTGTGGCAGCCCCTGAGATATTGGAACACTGCTATCATGTCCCCCCTTGTCCTTCTCTTCGTTAAACTAGACATACCCAATTCCAGCAGCCGTTCCTTATATGCTTTAGCCTCCAGTCCCCTAATCATCTTTGTTGCTCTTCTCTATACTCTTTCTAGAGTCTCAACATCTTTTTTACAGTGCGGTGACCAAAACTGGATGCAGTATTCCAAGTGTGGCCTTACCAAGGCATTGTAAAGTGGTATTAATACTTCACATGATCTTGATTCTATCCCTCTGTTAATGCAGCCCAGCACTGTGTTGGCCTTTTTGGCAGCTGCAGCACACTGCTGGCTCATATTTAAATGATTGTCCACTAGGACTCCAAGGTCCCTCTCACAGTTACAGAATCCCTGACAGGGAGTCAAAAATGAGGGAAGAGGATTCCAGTGCACCTACATTCACAAGGAACCATCTTACCCCTAACATCTTAAATTAATTAATAGATCCAGAAGGTGTGACAAGCTACTTTTCTCTCTGCATGCTTAATTTTGTATAATCTCTGTCAACATTGTTTCGCTCCTGTCATCCCTATATTTCTTTGATTAGTGTCTGTTCTCAATTGTCATTAAATTATCATTTAATTATATTCATCTGATTTTTCTCAATGATACCATGTAGGTTGGAGTAGATAAAGCTGACCGAATTTATGAAGAGTTACCTGAAATGGAAAAGATTATTGGAATTTTACAAGACTATCTAGATGATTATAATATAACAAGCTCTAAAGAGGTCAAGCTGGTATTTTTCCAAGATGCAGTAGAGCATGTTTCAAGGTAAATTATCATTAATTTAGTATTAATATTATATATACCATATTGAATATCAAGTATATATGAAATATGTGACATACCTTTGTCACATACAGGTAGTCTTCAGATTACAAGTGCAATTGTGATCAGGATTGTCATTTCCAATTAATTAAACCAGTGAAAACTTAATAATTCAAATCCTTAGCACGGAACAAAGCATTATTAAGATAGCATCTGAGAATATAGGCAGTTCCAAGCTATGTATATTTTTGTAAAATTAGAGTGCTCAGGTTTGATAAATTCAACATTTCCAAACACCAAGGGAATCCTTTTTTATCCCCCTACCGCCCACAAACAAAGTCAAGACAGTGGACATATCTAATACTCTTATTCTCTCTTTTCCCCACAACAACAACCTCTCTACTTCTCTCTCTAAGACAGGGGTGTCAAACTGCTGGCCCACGCGCCGGATGCATCATGAGGAAACCACGCCCACCCCATTGCCGGCAATGGGGGAAAAGTTCCGATACATTGTGCGACATCATGTGACGTCCTGAGTTTGACCTGTTTGCTCTAAGAGAATGACCAGTGCTAATTGCCCAGCTAGCTTTTATGCCTAAGGGAAGCTTAGAACTCAGAATTTCCTGAGTTCTAGGCCAGCTCCTTTGTCAAAGTGAACCAAAACTAATATACATAGACAATACATATCAGAGATATAGTGGTCCTCCTGCCTTTATTTCTTGACTTTTAACTTATTCTACCTTGGTTTTTGCTTGGCTCCTACTTTACTGATATTTTTATGGGTTTTACTCTTTTATCTGTGAACTGTTCAGAGTGACTGAATGAGATGGGCAATATATAAATTCTATTAAATATAATTTATCTAGATATATAGATATAGCTAGCTATAAACAAACTAACCATTAGGTCAGTTTCCAGGCAAGCAAAGACAAGCTCACTCCAATATGTGAACCTGGATTTTATGTGTCCCTCTCCATATTTTAGGTAATGTAACATTTGAATAAAATTATCACCACACCCTCTTGAAATCTAAAAATATTCTAGAGAGATTGCAGAAAGATCATGATATTTACGACACTGTAGCGAAGGGATGGCCAAAAGATGCATGTGTCAGAGAGGTAGAAAGCACTATTTTAAAAGTAAATGTGGTACAAGTAGTGAAAACATAAAACAAAAATAAGTCTGTATGAAATAGAGCTGGAAAAGACATGATATGCATATAGGGCAAAGAACAAAGAAGTAAAATGCCAGTGAGCGATCTAGGTCCTTGAAGCCATCAATAGGCCTTGTACCAAGGTAAAGCAAACAACAAATTCATAAACCAGAACAGGTTTGGTGGTGATTGTGTTATATTTCATAAACTTAGTTCTGCCTGGTCAGGAGGAGTGACCAAATCTATCACAGGAAACTGTATGGTGATTTTTGCCATCAAATTTTAGTTATGTATGTAAGGGTGATTCCTGAGTCACAATAAGAGGATGCATGAACCAAACTGTGTATTGTAAGTAATGCAGTCATATCCTGGGAGAGTATTTTTTTAAAAAAATCTTCTGCTTCAGTTCTGGTACATGCAATATGTCACAAATAAGTATGGTAGAATGGTATTTTTACCTTTGTACGTTTTATCAAAGCCAAATGTCATTTCAATTTTCTGCCTAGAATTGCTCGGATGATTCGTCAGGAAAGAGGAAATTCCCTCCTTGTCGGTGTTGGAGGCACAGGGAAGCAGTCTCTGACTAGACTTGCCTCTCATATTTGTGGCTATAAATGCTTTCAAATAGAACTAAGCCGTGGCTATAATTATGACTCTTTTCATGAAGACCTTAGGAAGCTATACAAAATGGCAGGGGTGGAAGACAAAGACATGGTTTTTCTTTTCACAGACACCCAGGTATGAAACAATATTGAAATTCTTTTTGCAGATAAAGCACTATTAATATAATGAAATGCAATGTGATTTAGCTTGTGGTGGGATTCAGCTAGTTTGCACCACTTCGGCAGAAACGGTAGCTAATTTTTTGTTGCCCAGGCCCAGAATGGACTTCCGGAAGCAGCATCCACACAGAGAACCGGTTGTTCACATTTTTGAATCCCATCACTGGGTTTAGGTATTTTTGTTTATGCAGCGAAAACACTTCAGAAAGGGAATTTTAAGTGCCATTAAATGTTAAAGTTCAGATAAGACATTAAAAGTAGATGCACTCTGCTAGCAAAGGATAAAGATAAAAATTCGATTCCTTCATGTTTCTGCAAGGTGTGGCTGTTGTCTCTTTGTTTCTTTGTTTTTGGTTGTACAGATAGCCCTTGACTTACAACAGTTCACTTAGTGACCATTCAAAGTTACCACAGCCCTGAAAAAAGTGACTTATGATCGTTTTTCACACTTACGACCATTTGAGTATCCCCATGGTCACGTGATTTACATTCAAATGCTTGACAGCTGACTCAACATTTATGACGGTTGCAGTGTCCCGTTTTACTAATTTAACAACTGCAGTGATTCACTTAACAAATGTGGCAAGAAAAGTC